GACTAATAGATCACTTACTGTTAGTTAAATTGCTGTATGCATTAATGTCCCACTTTAGCCTATATAAACTTTAATAGATCACTTACTGTAGTTGTATAGCAGTGCACTCTGAAACCTCATAGTAACCTATCGCTTACTGTAGTTTATGTAAGCATGGATGTCTTTCCTTCGCCCACTTGACTCTTACCTTATCATCTCTGACATTCTTGCTGCATGTTTTGAATAGCTGGGAAACATAGGATATCTCTATTACAATTGATGCGATCTTGATCATTTAAGTAGGCTATGTAGATCGGGTTCATAATAGTGTTAGGTCTGTGTGATCTTTCCGCCATCTGGAGGTATGGTTAGTCTAACCATGGTCTAACACATTCTCAAGTTATGCATTTGTTTCCCAATTTAGTCAAATTTTTGAGAATCAAAACAGTACGGTTCATTACTTTCTAAGGTAATTTGTTCATTTGTTTTCATCAAATATGATATAAATTTTAGGAGCGAATGCTTGTATTAAAGCGTAACGTTGCCATAAGGTTGTGGATGTACAAAATAGAATTAATGTGCATTCTCAGCTAATGTACACAACCTGGCAATTTTATACATTGGAATGTATAAATGCAGTATTTAAAGATTTATGCAAAAATTGTATCCTCGGGTAGCAATGAATAGTTTTAGTTTTAATGGAATATATTATATTATAAGGTTTGAAATAATCAAATACCTGATGGAGTGAGAGGTCATGACCTCTCAGAAGCTAATTGTAACTGTTTCCCCCTGTGTTTATAAGAACTTGGCTAATAACCAATGCATCATCAAAATTCTGAAAGACGCATAGATAAAGAAGGAAAGATTATGTATTGATACCAAGGAATAATGATGGTAATGTAAGAAGCATATTCTTTACATTTACATTTTGTTATATTGCGGGAAATGGAAAAAGAAAATATATAGGAAACCATCCGTCTTTTTTTGTAATAACTGTACATATTCTATTCAGTATTAATTTGGTAGTGGTGAATACAAATTTACATCTGGCTTTGATGTAGAATCGAAAAAAGCACTATTAACATAAAATATCTAAATTTGAAATCATAATTGTGAGGCATCTGATAGTATATCATAGATTGGTTTCGTATAACTGATTTAATATGCAAGACAATTATAGAGAAAACTTATACTGAATATAAACGAGACAGATGTTAGCTGCATTATTGAGGTTGTACTCTGTATAGGTAATTTGGAACAGCAAAGTATGCATTGTTTTATCATAGGTGGATTTACTTGCTAAACAAATGATAAATATGATCATTTCTTTGCAAGATGCAATATTTTTTCTTTAGTTAAGCGGATATTACTTGATTTAATTCTTGATGTGGTTCAGCGGTTACTCCAGAAATTTGATGACAAGGGGTCCGACAAGTCCGTCGTAGGGGTCCAATTGCCACCTTGTCCCACTGGAGCCCCCACGGATGTGGTTGAATATTTTTGTCACAAGACAAAGCTAAAGCTCTGTCTAGACTATCATCAAATTTTATTTGACAAAAACATGTGACATGCCTAAATATGGTCATGATGACATCACATCATGACCATATATAGGCACATCATGACTAAATATGGCCATACAACAGTTTTTTTTGTCCAAAGAAAATTTCATAACCTGGACATGACGTAAGAATGTTGCAAGACAACGGTAAGCAACATTATGCAACCGCCATGTATTGGCTAAACCAATTTGTGGCCTTCCAATACCTTTCAGATCCGAAAAGAAACATGTGACATCCCTAAATATGGTGATGATGACATCACATTATGACCATATATAGGCACATCATGACTATATTATGTGGCCATACAACAGTTTTAGACAGGACTTAAGAATATTGCTAGATAACATTGCACAACCACCATGTGAAAAGCTAAACAGATTTTCCGGCCTTCCAATACCTTGAGATACAGAGAGGGCACTTGACTTATGTGGCAGGAGACGAAACCACTAACGTCGTCTTGTCTAATAACGCATTCATACTAACAAGTTCTCATTGCTTAATTACCATGATGACGGATATTTGCGCTTATGCTTAATTCATTGGTGTTGAAACTTTTAGTTACCTTGTGCCATGCATTTTGAAACAAATACACAAATAAATTCTCGGCAAGGTACTGCATTCAGGCCACATAATTAAGATAAAAAACAGTAAGAACTTGATAACACTAATGCTACTAGCTCTCAATAAGCTCTTGTATAGTATCATTCGAAATGTCTGCAATGATTAACAATTAGAGGGGAAAGGAAAGGTGAAAAAATAAATGTCACCACCTATCTTTTCAGTAAGCCCAAAAAAAAAAAAAAAATTGTTTTGACCACGTTTTGAGAAAATCCCAAAAATAGGTAGGTCGGTAGGAAATCACATTTCATCGCGTACCATCTAGCAAAATAGGATAGCCTTGGCCACCCTAACCTCGCCAAGGCTATTCCAGCTTTATTTGCTCATAGAAAAATATTGTTTTCTTTTTGGCCAACACAATATTTTCTTTTTTGGCCTAATGTTCACGCAAAGTGTTTCTCCCAGGTTAAAACTCGCTCCTTATATCAGAAGCTTGGGACCAAGTAATCTGCTCAATTTTCTTGGTCAAAGACCCTGTATGAAACTGTAAATTAATTTAATATTTTTTTTGTAATTAAGTTTTTTTAAAAACAAATTAAGAAGTATTAAATAAATAAAATAATAGTTTGCTTGAAGCCAGTAATGCAATGTCCTATTAGGGAGATTAGAATTATATTCTTTAAAACATGATTTCTATTTGGGTATATTTTATCTTTACAAGAATCTTAAGATTTTTTTTTTTTTGGATGAAATTAACAGTTGTCTCCAGAAACCAGAGTAATGTAGAGGCAAATAGAGGGTGTACCGTACCAGTGGAGGGAAATTGAGCATGTTGCAGTCACGGACCTAAAGCGAATGTAATCGTAACCAACTTTCATGTGGGTGGAAAATGATCGATGTATGTAGATACAGGTCACATGACCTGAGGATTAAGCAAAGGAAATGAGACGTTTCTCTCCTCTGTCATGATAGTAATTTCCACATGGGTGGACTTTATATACTTGTCCATCTTTCTGAGCATTAAACTGAAAGTGGTCTAGTCTCTGGAGATGTTTGTAATGTAGATACATACGTGGCTTGCATATAACATGGGGATAAGCTCCAGCCCTATGAGCCCAGTGACTCAATAAGGATTGACTTACTTTTTTTGTGTATAACATGCAATGAATGCGTTTTCCTACAAGATAATTGGTATCATTGGATTCAATCTGTATAGAATGTTTACATCTACCAGTAAATAGTCTATCACTGGCAATACCATTCCAATTCGTTAAACAGAGAATGTTTAAATGAATGAAATAGATAAAGAAATCTTCCATAAACATTGGATATTATCCATCTTTTATTCAGACATTAAATTCACACTCCACGTTGGTGCAGGTAGATTAAAATGGAAGTATGTTAAAAAGTAACATTATCTAACTTGCTTGGAAAATAGACATTAAAATTGATGATGATGATGATGATGTTTCAAAAACAAAATAACTTATAATTTTTTCATGTCGTTTAATACCATAAGCGATAAGATCGGAAATAATTTTTTCGTCTTGCCTCAGAAGGACCATAATATGTATACAGTTGGTAAAGAATGTAAGTGGTATAATGCATGCAATTGCAATATACGTTTGCCTAATGCGACTTGTGATGTTATCTCTTTTGAATAGCCACTACAAAATACTGTTCGTAATTACCTTAGTTTATTACTGATTACTTATACTGATTGTGTGTGTAAGTATATGCAATTGCTATCATGGTAAGATTCCTTCGTGTATAGTTATCACAATAAAGCTTACTTCAGCTGAATTTGCCATCTGTTAGTTGCGAAGAATCTATATTCGCCGACAGATTATGTATATGGACTAAAAATGCTGCGCCAAAAAACCCACATCTACACAGCCTGTCTAATAGTGTTGCCTAGTGGTGCCTCCCCCCCCCACCAAAAAAAAAAGTGGGGGGGGGGGGGAAAGAAAAGAAAAGAAGAAATAGGGAATTGGAGTACCATACACCTACTTCAAAACAAGCTTATTTTTTATTTATATTCCATGTACCAGTGTCTATGTATAAATGTAAACAACAACTGGTCTGATAATATAAATTGATTCTTGTGAATAGAAATATAAAAACCAGATGCTATGTGTGGGTAGATGTGTATGTTTATGTATTTCTTGTCTATAATATCTTTGAATTTTGATGTTTATTATTTACACATCAAACATGTAAATTTATAAAAAGTAATGAATTAAACTTTATTACCTTGTGGATTATTATAATAATAAAAATACAGTATAATAAACAATGCTAGTACTGCGCACATCACTTTACTGTAAAAGATTCTAAAACTAATGGCGTGGAGTTATGGAATCAATATTTTACTGTAAAATATTGACCCTTCTATAAAATAGTGACATTCCTCTTATATTTTATATGTTCCTATGATTTATATAACTTGTTGTAATGTTATTATACCCCAGATAATTATGATTGATGTCTGTTTTTATTTTTATTGTATGTTATTAGGATCTTTCATGTCTTTGTTAATGTAATTGTGGTTTTGCCTTGAAGACAGATTTCATGTTGTATGACAAAATGAATTGAATCCAAATCTGAAATATTAATTACCGCAGTTGCCTAGATAGAGGCCCAGGGGGAAGGGGATGTCATCTCCAAATCAGGCCATCAATTAGGGATGGTCTTAAATGAGGAACACATTGCTGGCTCTACTATCCTCGTTCCTTCCGGCCTCCACACTTTTTTTGCGCGCTATAGCTTTCGCCTCATTCTCAACTATATCCATCTTATTTGTTTTATTCATCTTTTCATTGCCTTTTATTCAATGATCCCTTCCAATTAATTAACTATTTTTCTTTCATTTTATCTTCCTGTTTATATTTTTAGGTCATGTGAGAATTTCTGATCTTGGGCTTGGGTTGGAGATTCCAGAGGGAGAGAAGATTATGGGAAGAGTTGGAACAGTCGGTTATATGGGTAAGTTTACTAGCAGCTTGCCTCAGAATGTGTGTGCAATACATGTGGTGTATTATTTATCATTATTATCATTTTCCTATAGATAATATTTTGTAAAACCCTTTTTTGAACACTTTTTGATCGTGGATTATGAACTATCAATAGCTTAAACAAAGATGCCAAAAATGTTCCTTAATAAACGCTATTAAAAATATACTCTCTGTCGTATAAGCTAATAAACTTCATGATTAAAATTCCATATTTGATTTGCATTTTTATATTATAAGCAAGTTATTAAAATGAAAATTAAGAGAAAATATTTCTCACTAAATTAAACAAATAATGAACTAGAGTAGTCGTTCCATGAGTGAATGCCACCACTCTGGGCCTGAATACCCAATAACACACGCAAAGCATTTCATGCTCGACAGGTTTCAGAAAGCTTTTTTTTGGTTTTTTGTGACCTTGGCCTTGTTCTTTTTATCTTTTTCACTGCCAAATTTATTCATCCCCTTCTTGTGTCGTTAAATATTATAAATAATTGTGTGTTACATTCTTTTTATAGAGGTTTTCCTTAAGCGGTAGCAGTGATGGTTTTTCTTTTTAAGCTAACTAAATTATATTACTGGAGTAAAGACAATGTTTTATCCCGACTATCTCAGTGAGTGAACCGATGAATCTTGGATTAGACGCAGAGTCCCATAATCACCAAGAGCTTTAAATCCCCTTCAAGTAGCCACAAACTCTTAAGTCAAGTCTTAATTTATGATGGCCATGTCTGAGTCAGTAATGCAGTTACACGAGGCTAAACATTAAAACGTTCTCAGTCTGTGTATTATTATCTGCATGCGTTATGGCTGCCTGGCTGTATGTCCAGTACCTTAATAATCTATGTTGTAGTTAAAAGCTTTATTTGAAGCATGTATGTAGATATTCATCCCATTGGTGTAATAGTAATATGTGGTGATAATATCAAAGATGCTGTCTTTAGCTAAATGGTGGAAATACTTGTTGGAATCACATCCCCTGTAACATATTTTACACAAATTATGTTTTTTTTTTTGTCCATAGAACTTGTATAGTTATTTATTTATTTGTATGTTTTTTTATTTGTTTATTAAACCATATTCCTTGATTATTCTATGACCAATATTGAATTCAAGGGCCTTCAAACATACTAACTAATAGCTATTCATGTGAATGTATAAATTTTATAAACAAATATTTCACTTATGTTTATTTCGAGTCATGTTTCATTAGAATACAGGCTGTTTTTTCTAATCCTGTTGCTATGGCAATTAAGAATCCTTCATTCGTTGTTCCATACAAATACCGGTTACTTAGACAACATCTATTATTAGCTGGTTTCAAAACAAAGAATATTAGACACAAAGTGTAAAATGGAGGAAGAGATGGAGAAAGACAGACATGTACAGAAGGGTCTTTCACAGTACATTAAATTTGGAGCTTTGTTGTAAGCAATAATGATATAATGAATATTGCTAATATAAAGCGTCCCGTACTGTCTTTAGATTACCACGAGAACATTCGGGTAAGCTAAAAAGTTTTAATTCTGCTCGCAAATGAAACGGGTTGTTCTATGTCAGACGTTGAGTCGGGGACGCTTGTGTTTACACGTCTCATCAACTGCCGATTCTCAAATCTTAGGGTCGTAATGCTCGTAAAAATGAGAAAATGTTGAGAAAATAATGTTGATGGGTATTTACTTTTTTTCCCCGAGTCATTTACGATGTGGATTTATGTAATCGTTTGCATTATGGAATGTTTACTTTCGTCATGGATGGGTGAATCATCTAGCGTTGTTGAATCTTATGGTGGTCATCGTTCACACCTTTTAATTGCCTAGTAGTCTGCAATCACAGTGCTTAGCTTTCCCAGCTTGTAGGTTTAGGTTTGCAATATCCTACTATTCAAAAAATACAAATAATCAGTGGCACCAAGAAAATAAAATACCCTTGAAAATTACACTCCATTGCACAACTATAACCTTTTTTTTTTCTCTATTTTTTTCTCCATAGCACCTGAAGTTGTGAAAAATGAACAGTACACATTCAGCCCTGACTGGTGGGGGTTAGGTTGCCTCATCTATGAAATGATACAGGGAAAAGTAAGTTACATTTAAAAAAGTTAATTTTACTATAAATAATATGAAATATTATATTAAAAATATCAACAATACAGTTTACAGTTGATTAGAAGCAGTAGCTGTGAGTAAACTTATGAATATTACCACTTTCATTAAAATATACAAAAGTAGTTTTACATTCACCAGCCAATCTGTAAGTATAATTCAATTTGCTTTTACCTGACAGTGTATGTATAATAATGCTGTCCTAAATAACTTTAGGATGGTAAAATGCATTATAATTTCTGTAAACATGAAAAATGTTTTTCATTTTCAAAGAAAAAGCCTTTAAAAAAAAATTTAAATATTTTTTTTTTAGGCCCCGTTCCGTGCCCGCAAGGAGAAGGTAAAACGAGAGGAGGTTGATCGGAGAGTGAAGGAAGACACAGAGACCTACACAAATTCATTCAGTCCAGAAGCAACTGCAATTTGTAAACGAGTATGTATTGAAATGACTTAAGAAAAAAAAAAATTGCAATAATCTGCATTGAAGTATTATGATTTATTAAGACATCCAGGTTTGATGAGTGGCAGACCGTTTAAGTGTAACATAATTTATGTTGTGTAATGAGCTGAGAGACGGTGACATTTATGAATAGTTTATCTGTTCCCCTTCCCCTGCGTCAAACTATCTCTGCACTATACTACCAGCAATGGCTATAGACTGTCTTGCAGCTCATTAGCGAATCAGGCTCTCTCCCTTTAGGAAGCAGATGCATGCATCGGCATATCCAATGAGACATGAAGTGAAGTTTCAACTAACTCCAGCTTAGGAATATTCAAATTGTTTTTGACGATTAGCTGTAGGAATTTTGTTGGTTAGTTGAAGGAGTCATTAGTTCATTGACATACTGTATATGTATGCATATGATATACTGTAGTTTCTTTGGTATAAGCCCATCAATCCCCCTTTAACACAAAATTGGGCCAATTTTGGGGAGTGGGCTCATCCCCTTTTCAATCAAAGGTCAATTTTTCAGCACTGAATGCCTAATGTAAAGCCAACACTATATTTTTGTTTTAGATATTTTGGTTACTAAATAGGGACTGCAAAATATTTAAAAATTGTTCCTATTCACAAATGAAGTGAATTTAATGAATGAAATTACCGTGTACTGTATATATGTTACCATTCTAACATTCTTATAATAAATCTATTGGTAACTGTGGAAGTATTGATAGAATATGAAAATGTATTACTAGATATTTTAGTTACTAAACAGGGACTGCAAAATATTAAATTTTTTTTCCTATTCACAAATGAAGTGAATTTAATGAATGAGAATTACCGTGTACTGTATATATGTTACCATTCTAACATTCTTATAATAAATCTATTGGTAACTGTGGAAGTATTGATAGAATATGAAAATGTATTACTAGATATTTTGGTTACTAAACAGGGACTGCAAAATATTAAATTTTTTTTCCTATTCACAAATGAAGTGAATTTAATGAATGAGAATTACCGTGTACTGTATATATGTTACCATTCTAACATTCTTATGATAAATCTATTGGTAACTGTGGAAGTATTGATAGAATATGAAAATGTATTACTAGATATTTTGGTTACTAAACAGGGACTGCAAAATATTAATTTTTTTTTCCTATTCACAAATTAAATGAATTAATGAATGAGAATTACCGTACTTAACTTCCCAACAGCAGTAAGTGTTATAACCAGGCTTAGGGATCAAGTATTGTTTTATAGTAAGCATATTCAGATATTGAATATGCATATTCAGATATTGAATATGCATATTCAGATATTGAATATGCATGAGTTGTTTTTTAATGCAAGCATCTTAACCATCTCCAGTATTTACTGCTAGGCATCAACAGACTGATGCAAAGGGCTAACATTTTCTATATTATATGTTTTACATATTTGTTACACATATCACCTTCGTTATACATATCATGTACTATCCGTTTATCCTTGTACAATCCTTTAATAGAATGCACTTTCACTGGAGTTGAAATCAGCTTTAGATGCCTCAAACATTAAATCCTTTATCGATGCACTTGGGACTTAATAGCCCAATCTGGAGCGATTTTTGCAGTAATAAAAATCAAGATTAAGATCAGGAGCGCCCTTACTGCAACACATTATCTAACATTCATTATACATATCACGTAACACCATTGTTATAACACATCTCTTTATATTTCTTTTATATATTTTTCTCTCTTTGCTAGTTACTTAACAAGGATCCGGAGCAACGTCTTGGTTTCAAGGAAGGCTCTGCCCAAGAGGTCAAAGATCAGACTTGGTTTAACTGTATTAATTTTAAAAGGCTTGAAGCAGGCATGGTAGAACCACCCTTCAAACCTGATGTAAGTGCCCTATAATAGTGTTTTTAATAATGGGTGTTAATTAGTGCATTAGTTTTTTGCTGTTTATTTGGTAGCTTTATTTGGGGACTTTTATATTTTGTGAGGACGATAGAATGATAACGATCATGATGAAGATGGGATGGTGATGTTGTGATTATGATGAGAAGGACCTGTATTGAGATTTAGTTTGTGTAAAGCATAGTGTGTTTGTGTGTGTGTGTTGGTCTTGTGGAAGGGATTGTCACCTACAAGTAGGAGAGTGATATATAGTTGCTATGGGCAATTCTTAGTGCATTTGTGTGCCAAATGAAGATGAGATAGTGACAGTGGTGGTGGTGGTGGTGAAATGCAATGATTTGATGATGAGAATAATGAACAATAACAATAATTTTACTTTCTTTCCTCATCTCCAATTTCCTCTCCAGCCTAGAGCAGTTTATGCCAAGGATGTTCTAGACATTGAGCAATTTTCTACAGTCAAGGGCGTGAATCTAGACCATAGTGATGAGAAGTTTTACGAGAAGTTCAATACTGGAAGCGTAGCAATACCATGGCAGAATGAGGTATGGTAAAACCAGATGATTAATAGGTTAATTTATAAGGCGCAAAAAAAAAAGAAAAGGTCTATAAGCACCATGTCCAAGTAAACAAAAATGAGTTCCTAAAACGTACATACAACATATGCCTAAAACACTGTCCACATCAGTATATTGTGGATACCCCGTGTGAATGTGTGCGTTATGATCCAATCCTAGGCTTGAAGGTTGAAATACTGAAATTTTTTGATAAAGCAGAGATTCTACCCCACTTGAGGAATATAAATGAATTGGGCTTGCATAATGAACCATTCCTCTTAGACCCCTCCCCCCATCCCTTGGATATTGTTGCTTCGTCCCACAAAACTATAACGTACAGTTATAAACTTGGTGTGGCATGCATATTCCTGGTCCTTCATATGAATCACATGTTCTGATTGGTTAGTTGTTCACTCTGAAAAGGTCTATTATGCAAATTGAGTACTTGACAGGTGGCAGAAAACGTTGCACGTATGATTGATTTTGAATCCGATGTCTAGGATTGATAGGTGTTTTGTGAGCAGGTAGACAGGTAGAAAGAGTGTCAATGAATAAGTAATAAAGTCTTATAAGTGTCAATTTTTTTTTTCCTGTTTGATACAAATGGCATAATAGAAAGCTTATAAATAAATGATATCGTATTTTTGAACCTTGACTTTTTCTTTACAAAGATTATAGATTTTAAATAATAAATATATTTTGATGAATTTTGTTTTCTCTTGCAGATGATTGAGACAGAGGTGTTCAAAGAACTGAATGTGTTTGGTATAAACAACACCCCCACCCCTGATCTACTTCTTGACCAACCCCCTCCTCAGCCTAGGCCTGGTTTCTTTAGTAGAATTTTCAAACGAAGGGTAAGACAATCGTCAATTTAGTTCCTACTTCTTGTTCTTCCCACTTTATTTATCTCAGTCATAGCTAACATTTATGATGAATAAAGATTTTGATATATCAATTGATCGATGGTGATTATTGAGTGTGCCTACGTCTAAATGAAAACCATGTGTTGAAGGACAGCCAATCATAGTACTTGAGATCAGGATGATGTCTTTTAACAAGCATTGACAGATGAACCATAGTATGGTGACCCGACTAGAAAGAACCCCTTTAAGCTGACCTGCTTATATAAGATAAAAATGTTGAAATTTTGACTCGTTTTGTATTTAAGATAATTTTTACGTCATTATTGTTCAGGTGTTCACTTTGATGTCTAAACCAATCAGGAAGTGTTGCCATGGTTATTGTAGTGTCGGTGTGATTGTTCAATCTGCTTTTTCAGGATTAGGACGGTTAACAACAACATTATTAGCTTTCATGACCGACATTCAGGAAATCACATTAATATGCAGTCATTCAATACTCACTGACACTCCAGTGTTTCGTCGTCATATCATTTACAAAACAAGAAAGGACATCTGCGTTGCAGGACGCAGGATTTAAAAAAAAACAAGGGCACGGAGGAATAGCTGCAGTCGTGGAAACCATTCAATCAATCCATCAATCGTTTGAGATTTACACTGAAGAAAATAATATAGAAAATAACTGTAGTGTTATATTACTTGGAGAAGAGAAAGAGACTAGATTTAGCTTTTTTTGGTTAGAAATGGACTAGGTTTAATAGAAAGTTATATTGTTCGTGACTGCTGGGGCTGCAACTTGGAATCATGCCATAAGAGTTCAGATGCCACTTAAAACACTTGGGTACTATAAGATTTGATGATTTAAATTTTAGTCGACTTGTTTTATAAGATAATATCAATATTGAGCAGAAAAATTTGCAATTTCAATGGTCTCATAATTTATCATTTGCTTTGGGCATGCTGTAAAATGCTTTATTGCAAACATCCTGAGCTTACTTTACTTTAATTGGCTGATGTCTATCCTATTGCTGACTGTTATGTACCTGTCTCTTATACCATCACATCCTTACCATATATAGGCTTATGATGACTATATATGGGCAGACAGTAGTTTTTTGTCGAAGAAAATTTGATAATCAGGACAGAGCCGTAGATTAAAGCTAGGCACACGCTGCAACGTACGACGGCTGTCTCTTATACACATCTAGATGTGTATAAGAGACAGGTATATATGTATGTATGTATGTACAATATGTGGTAATCACTATGGGATATTACCAAGGAGACCAAACTTACTTCAGAATTTGAAATTCTGGAGTCTACACACGAATATGGTAACCCAGTGGGTGGTGTGCACACATTGCGCTGACGGTCGTCTGCCATCAACAATAAGCATACGATATTGCATCGTCGAACGCTGAAAAAGAGCAGAGATTGATTTGTTGACCAACCGTCGTACGTTGCAGCGTGTGCCTAGCTTTAATCTACGGCTCTGTCCTGATTATCAAATTTTCTTCGACAAAAAACTACTGTCTGCCCATATATAGTCATCATAAGCCTATATATGGTAAGGATGTGATGTCATCATGACCATATTAGGCATGTCGCATTTTTTTGTCAACAAAATTTGATAGGCTGGACGGGGCTTAAGAAAGATAGAGCGAAAGGGGAGGGATACAGGAAGCAATATGAATAAAGGGTTATGTAATAATTAGTTGAAGAGCAAGGTTTAATAATGAAGAAAGGGGAAAGTTGAAGAAATGATTCGTAGATAAATTCATTAACTGTTGCAACTTTTTGCATCAGCCTGGCTTGTTTTAGTTCGGTATTCAACATATCAGAGAACATACATACATAAATAAATACATTCAAAAAAATTGTATTTATATCCCACCATTCTTTTCATATTATGATGGATGAGAATTAGTGAACTCCTCAGGGCTGGTGTTAATGATGGCAAGCTTGGACAAAAACGTTCAGTTATCCAGGCCATTGGAGGCCTCAATGCAATCATTCAAAACTAGGCTAGCAAGAATTCCTGAAATCAATCAAGCATATCTTGCTAAAACACTTAAGGAAACATTATAGGTTTTTTCATATACATGAACTTGCCAAGAATATATTGTAAGCACCATTTATTTTTAAATATTTTTATCATTTTACTGACATTATTATACTATGATAAAGGATAGCTATTCTATTTTGATGGCAGGCTGGGCCTGTATGTAGCAGGGAATGAAGTCGCCTATAGTTAGACATTATTATAATTATTATAAAATTCTTTTATCAAAAGATGGTTGCTTTTCCAGTGTGTATGTATAGTTGATGTATAAACAGTTCATGATATTTGGTAGGCCTATGTGTGTAGCCTAGCCTAGGCTAGCCTAGCCTAGCATGGCTTAGTCTAGGTGGCAGATATTGGTGAACTTTGGTGGGTCTTACATGTAACTAAATTTTTTTTGGTTTGATGTACACAGAATTATTCAAGGAGATGAATATGATGAAATCGTACATCCAGATAGTGACTAATATTTAGAGATTAACGGGATGATCATTTCTGTTTACCATTTTTTCGGATACTTGAAAAAAAATGTCAGTGGTCAGTGATGATATGTGTACTGTAGGCAACATAGCAAATGCATTAGTTGGCAGAATGAAGGATCGACTTTGCTATAGAATACTCTGTGATGATACATACTTTTCTAATAATTACAAGAAAAAATTGCTGAGATCTTGATATCAATATGTATACCTTCTAGTGTAAAATGTTGTTCCCCAAATTATTTGGTTTTAGAGTATCAACTTTTGATGTGGAGTTGTCAGAATTGAATTGTGTTGTCTCGTACAAAAAAAAAGAAAAGAAAAAAGGGCGAATTTAAAAAGAAATTTGGCAATATGATAAGCCATACGAACCAAGGTAGTTTTTATTCTACAATACATATGACCAATTAGCTAGGTTTTTGTGTAGATAGGAGTATTCTTGTTGGATGGATAGAAAAAAAAAATTATACTTAAAATGTTCGATGGTTATCAGGAATATTTCTTTCTATCTTTTCATGTTTTTTGCGTCTGTACAATAATATAATGGCCACTTTGTCTTGTACAGTTTTATAGATGGGGAAAATATAACTATAGAATTGTTTAAATAATTTGTGTGGTGTTAATGTAATGGGGATATGAACTATAGTATGAAAAATGCAATTGTAGATAATTGACATTACTTACTATTTGCATTCAGTGTTCAGATAATGTATTGTGAATATGAATTTAGGTTTCCATCACATTATTTATCACTGTTGTACATTTCCATGGCAACTGTAGCTAGGAGACCAGATTTCTTTCAAATGGTGTTTAGTCTCTCTGTGTGAAAATAAGTATATTCAGAAGAAATGCACCGTGCCAATTGATTGAGCTAACGGAAATCTCTTTTTTTTTGCGTATTCAAATCGGTCGTTTTTCGTATGAATTCAATTGCTGTTTCGTGATAGTTTCTTGCGAGCTTTAGTCTTTTTGAATGTTGATCACTTTCACGTGCACTGTCCACGTAACACGTGTACTGCACGTCAAAACTTCATAATCTTCTAGCATCTCGCGTAAAAAAATATCTCTAGATTTTCCCGTTTGCGTCGCAAACTTTCTCACTTTTTACAGCAAGCTAGGTGCACACATTTAATGTTGGATTTTGTGTTTTTTTAAATCAACCTCTAAATTTGACCACTGCAAGTAAACATTTTAACGTTTGATATGAATATAAAATTATATGAGGATAAATACTTGATAATGTAACTAAATATGTTGTCCGTGGATCACATTTGCCTCAGGGTGGACTTTACACTCACAATCATGAAGATGATATATATTTTCAATTTATAATTCTGTCTGTTTGTACAATTCAAATAATGAGAAATAAAATATAGTGACCGAAAATGCTGGATTTTGAGGTATAGATATTTAGCATAATATGCTTAAAATCTGCTCCTAATAATTTAACAAGAGCAAATTGTTTTCATAGCTACAACTTTATATTATGTTTTTTGTTGAAAATTTAGAGATGACATTTTATTTTAATAATGTATGTTTTATTTATCATAACATTTGGAAGGATATAGAATATATATTTATTTCATGAGTATTTTGTTTACGGTTTTATCAAAACAATTTATTTTTAGTGTTTTATGTTTCACCGGATAAACCTCTCTGACTTTAAAGTTTAATCATTGTTAAAAAAAAAAAATTAAATGTTTAAATAATATTTGAATATCAGAATTTTCATATCCATGAACACTAATATTTGAAATTCTCTGTTATTTTAATTTCTCAGTATTACCTGATGACTGTATAACTTGAGATATTTCGCTAGTAGTATTACTAATTCCTTTGTTTCTCTGCTTTTTAATTGGTCATTTCTGTAACTTTTATTATATTGTACAGTGCTCCTCTTGAGAAGAGGTCTGCACTCATATAATAAAAAAATGATTTAGAGTTGAAACTTAAGTGGAGCACTGTTCGTATCAATGTATATTTAGAAATTTTACCAGACGACCACGGGTCGTCAATAGAGATACAATTTCAATGCAGTTTAAAAATTATTGATATTAACATAACAGTGTGAAGTATAGAGCTTTTTCTTCTCAATTCTATTAACTACAGGTTGTACATACCTTAACCTCAAGAGTTTGTGATAAAGATATCTTTAAAAACTAGAGAAAAGTAACTGGGAAAAAAAATTAAATATATATTTTATTTTGGGTTTGTATTGTGTGAATACATTTGTTGAGAATTTCTTACCTCAGTCTGTCTGTGACAAGGCTTGGCTGTCTAGTGGTTCTATTCAATTATGTACTCTAATTTGCTCCTCTTGGCAGCAATTGGAGTTTGTATTGTTAATATAAGTGATATTTTATATTCATTGTAGCATTACTTCTCATTTCAATACTGTACTACTAATGATGATGCATGTCAATTGTTCAGCACTCCTTCCCAATCCCCTTCCCAGTATCCACCCCCTTCCCCTTTTCTGCTTGCTAATCTTGAAGTATAGTGTTGGAAAATATCCCTACAGCAGTTTCAGGGAGCATAACAAGAGCTAAAGGGATATGGCACAGCTGAACTTGCATCATTCATACATACGTAAATGTTTCTGATGGTGTACATTATGAAATTATAATTAAATATAATAAGTTCGAAGGTCAAACGTTGAATTAATGGCATAGTATTCATCCATGTTCTGAGGAAAAAAAATACATGTTCTGGCACTTATTAATTAAAATTAGGTTGATATAAATTTAATAGAAATTAATTATTGAAAATCAATGCGTGAATATTATTACATTTCTTAATTATTAGATGAGATTAACGGTCCTGTGGGTTTGAAACAAAAGGGGAGGGGTTATTGAAACATGATCCTGATTGATTAATTAGTGCTAAATTAGATATTTTTTTATATTTGACACAAATTAATTAACCCGTTTTGTATTTATGGAAATCAATTTGACAGTATACTTGAGTCAGCATCAGCGATGACTGATGTTCTTTATCAGAGAAGATTTACTCTACAAATCTTGCAACAATAACCATCGTATTATATTAGAATTTAACTTGAATATTGTAACAATATTCTTAATTGAATTATTGATTAATTCAATTGTGAAGTGTTAACATTTTGTCAATAATACAAGGTTACCAAGGGTGGGTGGGGGGAGGGGAAAAAGTCCGCCCCAGGTTACCTCGATTCCTCAGGCCTCACTATAGACAAATTAGGGTCCTGAAGTCAAAATAATGCCTACAAACAATACTAATTAGCAAGAATAAATATCGACAAATTTTGAAATGTTGGCCATGTAGTCAATTATTCAGGGTCTGATATATTTCTCGTTGGCCCCATTTCTACCCAATATTCAATGTGATGGTACAAAATGCATATTCTGAAATGTGTCCGAAGAATGAATAGTGGGTTTAAGAAATGGCAGAAGGAACTACCATGTTATGAAATTAACTTAAAGAAGCTTATTCAAATTGTTTGTAGAATAAAGAGTGCTTCGAATGAGAATTATTGATTAATATTAATTGTGATCGTCATCTATTGAGAAATTAATAGAAATATCAATTACTTGTTGTCATTTGTTTGCCTAATGTTGAAATGAAACGGAAATGAATGTTGGTGTAGGCACACTGAGACACAATAAAGTGAAATTTTCTTACCGAGGCATCATTATGAATGTTGTATGAACATCTGTGATTTGAAATAAATGCCTCATCGTTGCATGCACATTGAAAAAATGTTAAAAAATAATAATACTTTTAGTAATACTTTATACATTACAAAAAAATCACCTGCTTAATAATGATCATTATCATATCAAGCTTACATAAGACATAAAAAAATCAATAATAATAATGGTTGACTTATAGAGGGCATATAATAATAATAGTTGACTTATAGAGGGCATATTGTAGAAACGTATGCGCTTAACATTATTACCACCGGCCATTGGATCATGCATGTATGGAACACATGCTCCGGTCCTGGGGAGAATTCCACAATGTTGCAGCTGTAATCAGCGTACTTTGTGTTTGAACCTACCAGATGCACTCCTGGTGGAGATAGACAACTGTAAGTAAAGTGCCTTGCCTAAGGACACAAGCAAAATACGGAGCGAGGGATTGTACCTCCGACCTCAAGATTTAGAAGTAGGACTGCAACCGCTGTTGCGCAAAAGCGCTCCTATTGGTCAATAGCAATGTCGTCGTTATCTTCACCACCACCATAAATGTTATCGCCAAATTCATCATCATCCCCACTGCTTATAAAATGCCCTTACACGCTGCCAAAAATATCATTAATTTAAATGTATTATTCAATGTCATTTTATGTATGCCTAAATTAGCGATAGACCTAGAGTAGGAGTGAAATTTTGCCAAAGAAACTGAAACACATTCAAAATAAACAAAATTACTTTTCATTATATTCATAACTTTAATCAATTTAAAATGAACTGTTTGAAGAAAAAATGAACAAAAATACTGCCTATAGCCTTAGCAACAGCACACTGGAACAACAATACAAGTATTACACTTGCAATAACTTAAACCAACATTTTCTCCATGAAGCTAGATAAAGTAAATCTATTATATATATGCATAGTGTATATATATATATATATGTGTGTGTGTAGTGTATATGTATGTATATATATATGTGTATATATATATATATATATATATATATATATATATATATATGTGTGTGTGTGTGTGTTTAGATATATACATAAATATAGCATAGAAGTATATACTGTATATAGTATAGATATATTTTAGTTGAGTTTGTATAATTTGCTCATGAAAAATAAATATCTTTTGGGATCCCACTATTCCCACACATTAAAAAGGAATTTTATTCTTCAGCTTCCAGCTAGGAATATGACCTCTTCATACTGGATACCTCTCTTATTGAAAACCCACAAGCATCATGTGCTATTAACTTCAAGTAAATTGGTTGTTCAGCCAATTGGAAGTGGATATTAAAATGATTGGATTCAATTCACTAGCAATATTGAATCATATTTTCACTCTCTTGGATAAATGCAGATACCCTGTATCATTATATAAAGATTAGCATGAATTTGCTTTCCACTACAGTAATAAATATATAATTTACACTACTTTCTTAACTAATTACCCATCACCATAAAACAACTAAGATAATTTGTTAGGTAATTTACCTTTATTAATTAAAAATAGTAATCAATAAATATTAATAATTAAAATTTAAGATAATACTTTAATACTTTATTATATATTCATATTCTTTAAGAATAAAAGTGGCTCCTTGGAGGATATAAATATTTAGTTGATCTGTAAAGTTGAGATCCCAGGTACATTTTTTTCATATTGCAATTGAGTTAAGGCCGTCAATAAAGTGTGAGCTATTAAAACTTGGCTTTCCTTAAGCTTTTTGGTCAGAGGCACCCTAAGCCTGCTGGTCAGGGGCAAGAACAACTCTTAACCCTATGGGTCAAAGTTTGCAATGACAGTAGCTGTGGTAATTTATTCTAGCTTTACAAATGGCTACTGGTCAAAGCCTGCGAAAGGAGGAGGCTCAAGTGAATCAAGGTGCCAGTCCATAGGTTCTTGAGTAAGAATTTCAGCTATGATAGCGTGAAGTGACGAAGGTGCATGACGGTTCAAGTATTTCAAAAGTACTTGGTAAACAGGTGAAGAACGACTCGTTGGCTTGCAAACACCAAAGTGATTAGTATTCAACATATGAAAGTCACCAAATCCAGGATCTAAATGAGAAATTGGGTTAAGGCCATCAATCTGTTTGATCGTGTTCTTTTGTTTTGCTTTCTATGTTTTATTTAAAAATTTAACAATGGCAACACAGCCTTTAAAATAAAGTTTTAATAATAATAAAATAAATTACATGCAAATTATTTTACGAAAAACAAAAGTTTTTTTAAATAACGCTTATTGTATCTGATAAATTTATAAGAGTTTTGAGAATACTCACGAGCTGAAGACATTGGAACAACAAACAGTTTCAGAAGTGCGACCTCTGTTGGCTGCATTTCACCAAAGCTGAGCACGGGCAGACCAAACGTTTGAACAAATGCACGGAATTGTCCGTGTAATTGTCGTAAGGACGGAGAATCTAGGCAAGTACAGAAAATCAATCGCATATAAATTTTTTGGAATTGGAATGGAAATTTAAAAAAGGTTTGACTTTTTCCCAACCCTATTATGTTTCACCAACCATAGTACAAGGACTGGTTTTGTATTTAAAAGTATCTGAGAGTTTATTCTATTTCAAAATATGTTCTTATGCATACTATTTGTCAGTTTTCTTTAATTTACAGATGCACAAATAATAATATTTCACAGCAGAACTTGTTAATCAAAAACAATTCTGTTTTGATTTGTATTCCATTGGGAGTTGATAACTGATCCGATTCAAAAGTATGTTAATAAAGTGTTTACTTTGCCGTAGTTCAGCCACCTCTACTGACGGGTAGAGTAGATAGCTAGCCTGCTGCGAGTAAGCAGCAATGGCGGAGCCTTGGTGCGGGGTACTGTAGAACACGACGCCTGCTGTTTCACTAGCTACGGTCCGCTGGGATTTGCTCTGCCATGCTGTTATTAACATCTGCTTCACCAGTAGACCTGAACAAGAAATGATCATTAAACTAAAGATATATTCATCCTTCAAAAGCCTGACTAATAATGCAAGACCTTTATACTATTAGAGCTTTAGGAGGTTTTTTTTTTCATTTCTACACCTTCAACTCCCACATGCAATATTTTTTTTTTCCAGCTTCTGTTAATCATATATATATAAAAAATTATGTTGCCCAAACGCAGTGACATTTGAAATGCAGTTGATCGGTTGGCAATTTTCCTACTACTGAAAAGGATACCCAGTATAAAGAAGAGAAAAAAAATAATAGACCTAGGCCTATTGTCCTCACCTCCCATAGAATGAGTCACCCAGATAACTGGCCGCTGCCCTATTCCAGCCTCTTCTAATTTCTTAAGCAGTTCTTGACTACGTGCAGCTAATGATCGTCTGCCAATTGTAGGGAAAAAATAGTTTAAAATTTATAGTAAAATTTCAGCAAAATCTATTATTTTTCTATCTGTTTATGATTTAAAGCTTATAAATTATTTGATTCTTTTTCTATTCTGAATTTTAATTGAATTTTTGAGGGGCAGACAGTACATATTTAAGTTTCTTTGTGAGTCCTTGCCTACATGCAGCTAATGATTGTCTGACAAATGTAGGAAAAATAGTTTAAAATTTATAGTCAAATTCCAGTAAATCAGCAAAATCTATTGTGTTTCTATCTGTTTATGATTGAAAGCTTATAAATTATTTGATTCTTTTCCTATTCAGAATTTGAATTGATTTTTTTGTGGGCTGACAGTATATCTTTAAGCTCCTTTGTGATTTCTTGATTACAAATAAAGGCAAAACAGTTTAAAATTTGTAGTACAATTCCAGTAAATCAGCAAAATCTGTTATTTTTCTATCTGTTTGCGATTGGCTAATAAATTATTTCATTCATTTCCTTTTCAGAATTTTAATTGAATTTATTAGGTGTTTTTCCAATTTTTTTTTGGCAGACAGTATGTCTTTAAGCTTCATTGTGAGTTCTCAAGTTGTCTATAAATATGATATCAAGTTTCAATTTCTTGTTATCTCCCAAGACGATTCAAACCTAATCTAGCGGTCATATTCATGAAATGAATCTTTCAGAAAGCATGATTCAAGGATCTATAAATGATAGGGATTCTCATTGTTATATCAATGAAATTGATTTTCTGCCTTTTGCTTGATGATATCGGTAGAAATGAACGAAGGATTTGTGGCACGGATGGGACTTGGCTTTACATTCGGCACAAGAGGGGCTTTGAAATAGAGAATGAGTCTTTTATATCATGAAGTATTTAATATAGTTTCAAATCAGATGTGACAAAACACAAACACTGCAGGTTGTAAATTTCTGAAATTATTATTATGAAAGGAATTGTCTTATAGTAAAAAAAAGACTGTACGTGATAATTTCAATTTTTTATTTTTAAATAATATGAAATATGAATATACTTTCAAAAAGGAAGTAATAAATGTATTTGAAACCCAGTTCTGTTATTGTTGTTACTATTACTGTATTGATAATTGTTTAATAGAAACATGAATTTATTACCATTCTTAATATTTTTAAAAGGATAATTTCTACATAATTTTGATAATTTTTCTAAGTACAGTTTATTTGGTAGTATTTTTGCTTTTCAGCTTTGCTATTTTCCTTTTAGTTTTAGTACTTCTGTAAGTAGTTCTTGATAGTTGTAAATTTTATAGTTAAGTTTGTTTCACGTTATGTAAAAGATACATATACAACCTCGAGGAAGAACAAAACCTTGGTGAAGAGAGCTTCTGTTATAAAAGAAAGATTTTATTATTATTATTATTGTTATTATTATTATTATTATATTTTACAACATAGATATAACATACCTTTTCCAGCATAGAAAATATTTAATTCTTTTATTAAATTTATTATGTTCTCTTCCAACAATTAAACATTATATTTTTTAATGAGAATACAATATTTGATTCAAACAATATATCACTAAAATTGCACACATGCATATACTGTTGTCTTAATGTTATTATTGCAAAGGCAATTTGCGGGACAGGAATAATAATGTGAAGCATATTCTACAATATAAACAGATCTGAGATATCAATTTTCTATATAAAAAATGTACATATTGATTAAGCTTTTTTGAAATCTGAGAAGTTTTATCATTATTTATTATTTATTGCAAAAGCAATAGTGAGATCGGCATAATATATACAGATCATCTTCTACAATATAAACAGATCTGAGATATCCATTTTCTATATAAATTATGTACGTATTTATTAATCTCAATGAAATTTGAGAGGTACGCTTATTGGTAATATAAATATTGTAATAATGAAACAGAAATATGATTACATAGCCCCCTCTAGAGGTTAGATAGAAACCAGTTGTTCTATGGTAGTTTAACCCAGCATTCATGTATCTGAGGAAATGTAAAAATTTTCCATTTATTTATAACACCGTATTTATTTAGTTATTTATTTTACTTACTTTTCTTGACCGTATGGACAAGTTGACGTCCACTCTGATACCTGGGTTTCGTAGGCAACTGTTAAGATACGTAAATGAGGGCAGTCTTCAGCTAACCAAGTCTGCATGTGTAGTAGTCAAAATGATAAAATACGGAAAGAGGAAGACATGATTCAGTCATTGTTATCCATGTGTAGGCTCATATACATAATATAATAGAACTTGATACACTTTTATTTATATTTAAATATTTTATTCAATTTCCAGGTGAAACATTTTTTTTTTTTTTTTTTTTAAATTTTATTTCCAGGTGAACCAATTACAAACAAAGAAACATGAAAAGACAAAATAAAAGTTATAGCTGAAAATTAACTGTACTATCAGAGTGGCTCTCCAATACTGCACATAATCATTCTAGAACAGATACAATGATTAAACACTTATCTAAAGTTAATATAATTTTGGTTAAAACATTTCACTTACCAGGGAGAAAAGTAGAGATCAACCAATCACCACTACCGTACATCCCCCTTCATTGAATCTATTTAACTTGTTATCAGTCAATCTTTGAGTTATACATCTGACAAAGCAGACTATTTAATTTGTAGGCATAATGTAGGAGTGAAAGTAAATTCTTGCCGAGCCACAGGGCTCATAGGCGCTCGAGCTTATCCCCAGTTTCTGTAGCATGCAGCGGATGCGAATGTGATACTTCCCCTGAGAGGGATGCTAGTCCAGTGCAGTTTACTCCCAGCAATTTGCATGTACCTACTGATACAGGTGGATAGACTGAAGCAATGTAGGTATAAAGTGCCTTGCTCAAGGACACAAGGGAAATGCACAGCGAAGGATTGAAACCCTGATCTCGAGGTTGGGAAACCAAACCATTTCCACTGCGCCAAACTGCCTCCACAATGTAGAAGTGATAATGGACATTAATACCCTAGTTTAAAATTTACACTCTTGTATCATCATTTGAAATGGGAGTTGAATTATATACTAGTACATTTCTAACCTTCGGCCAACACGGTGTTAAATTCTTTACAATGTCATTTTCATCGGCGCTGTCTTTATCTGGGCTAGAAGGGCTCTCACCCTTGTCATTTGCTCGCTGCCTCCAGGAATGAAAAGCGCCACCAAGTAGGCCATGTACAAACACTACATCAGCAACTATTTCATCACTGTAATAACAAATCAGGTAATAGTATAATAATAAATATCAATAAAGTACAGGTACTTCCAGTAACTGATACTGGAAAAAGACGCATAAAGTGAATGGTACCACAACAGCACAGAAAACAGTGATTGATAATTTGGTGGTCTACTTCGTTACCTGTATCTATATTGAGGGTGAAGCTGGTATATTCCGTTTTTAAGTACATTCTTAGTGTACACCTGATCCAGGTTAGCTAGGGCGCGACTGGCCTCCATCTGAAGTGGAATGTGAGTTGATTTAACCCAGTTAACTAGTACACGTACAAAACCTGCAATGAAAAGCACAGTGGAGCTTGCCTTAGGGTCCAAACTTTTTATTTTTTCAGTTTTTTACACCTGTTTTGATCTGAATCTGAATAGATACTGACAGGGGACCCCACTGTGGTATATGTGTCAGTGTGTGTCAACGATCTGCAAGCTATTAGGTGTTATTTATTTACCCATCGCTTTAACTAGTGCATATACGCAGAGAACACGCCGGCAAATTTGATGTAACAGCAGCGTCTGCTTCGGCCTAGTGCCTCGGATCTACTGCCATTAGACTGTGACAGAAAACGAAAATGGAGTAAGAGCACTTTTCTCTTTTGATTTGATAACGATTCTTTGCTCCTGGCAATATTGTACTTATACTTTGCCAAATAAATATTATTTTTATTATTATTAATTCCTAATCCTAATGTTCTTTGCTTAAGCTCCCTAATCCCAGATCCTTAAACCCTTAATGTGTCTGAGTGTGTGTTTGTACGTGTTGAATCTTTGCTTACCAGCTTGGATTATGTTCTGGTGGAATCGTGTATACACAGCAAGGTTGCCTAAAACCTGTGCGATGTAGCAATGCAACTGCAAACTGTGAGGGCGCACTTGTTGCAGTTCCATCAACATCTGTAAGCCACCATTGCTTATAATATCTTCAGCATGAGATTCAATCTGCAATTTTTAAGAAATAAATTTGCTGAATGTTTATGGTGTAGCCACCTGGAATCAGTTTTTAAAAAAGCTACTATATAAATACACAATATGATCTCTTTTGAAATGGAGTATGAGTGTTTAACAGCTTATTATTTTTTTTTTTTTAAATCCTTTGCTTCCCCCCATCCCCCCTTTAAGCTCACCCCTTAAATGGTCCTGCCAGCCAAAACCCACTCATAAATTTTCATCAGTCACACATTCAAATTCTCTGAGGTTGATAACTATGAGATTGTTCTCCTGTAATCATGTGACATAGTCATTGATATTGCCTAAAAAAAAAACCCTGGCCACCAGTGCACTTGACTTGACCAGGTCAACTTGACCCAGAAATAAATCATGACTCTACCCCCACCCCCTTTTACAAGTGCGACTGGTTGAGTTGACTAACAGATGAAATATCATTCCACAAGCAGTGTCTATACCAAATGTTCAATTTGTTTAACCAACAAACAAACAATACTACTGTGATTCTAAATAAAAGACTGCCATGTTTAATAGTACCTCGGAATGATTGACAAGAGCCATGAGGTAAAACCGTTCGGCACGCTCTGTGGGCACTCGACTCAGACTGCTTACAAACGATAGACTATTGCCTCCAAAACAGAGGGCGCCACTCTGTAGAAAATCAGATATTGAAATTGTTAAATACTTCATACATTTTTTTTGAACAATGATCAGGTCAGCCCTCAACACTCATATTTTTTCATTATTTTTATTTTTATTTTAACCTATCTAACTAGCTAGTTTTTGTGTCCCTCCTTCTTTTAAGTCTCAGGCATTCAAAGATACCATTAACAAACTTAACCTCTCCATTCTTTCATTTTTCCTTTGCTTGGAGTCTTCATAGACTATAGGTTCTCAATATTACTTATGAACCTTTCCATGCATTATATCATAAACAATTTTTTTTTAAAGATTGCAAAGCAGATTGCATCATTCACAATTACAAATAACCTTGTCAAGGGCCTTTACCTGATCATCTGCTTGGGCTGCATTATCTCCCAAGAGGGCGGTCTTTGTAAAATATTCCGTGCAAGCATCCAGACCACTCTTTGGTAGTGAAGCCAACAGGTGACGAAATCTTTCAAACAAATTTACCTGTGTTTAGATTATTCAAAGTAATTTATATCATTGATTTATTATATATTATATATATATAATCTACTATGATTTATGTTGAATTCATTGCAAACTCCCACTGGCCTCTTAGTGAAAAAGCAATGAGTTGAAATAGTAACATGCTATTAATTTCAAAGGCAAGAGGGAGTTGCCTGGTAAGACGGCCATTGTTTTGGGGAATGTCACAGTGGGGGCATTAGCTTGATCAGTGTAATGTAACAGAGGCTGCGTGCATATTTAGGCCTTTCATTGCATTTTGGTTTTTAAGCATTCAAACAAAACACTCTTATAAGACAGAAAACTTGTGTTTAATATACTTGAGTCCAAGCTACAAAGCTCTCTCCACACTATCACATTTCATGTGACAATTTGAGTGATGTACCCTTTTATGGGCATTCTTCTTATCAAGTCTATTCACGAGATCACACTCTGTAGAGCCATGTCGATTTAAGTCTCGACATTAAGATTCTTGCGTATAATGGTAAAAGGATTGGAAGGAAAAGGGCCGTGACGTGAACGCTGCTTTTTTGATGTCATATTAGACCCAAATATGGGCATATCGCATTATATTTTTTCACATAAAATTTGATAGTGTGGACAAAACTTTAGTTATTTTACTAGTATTATTAATGTTATACATTATTCTTGGACATACAGACAGTCATCAGAGAGACGTCCGCTGTCCACACCGACATTTATGAAGGCTGGTTAATTTCACGAAGCTATCCATTACAATCTCACTGCAAAGTGACTTGTGATGTCATACTTTTGATATGAACAGCGTATACTAGCAAGTATTACTTAATCTCCACCGTTGCAGTTTATCTCTGCTTTCTCATTGGCCCAAAGTTGGGAAAATTTCTAACGATGATGATACCTGTATGATGAAGACAAACCTGATTTTCTTTCACAGGAGGTGGTGGCAGAAAGAAACGACTGTCAACGTCAGGTGACCTTGCTAGACCGATCAAAGTGTGCTGGTCACATGCTTGAGCAACAACCTGGTAATCAGCATCTGAGGATGACAATTAATGCTCATATAAATAGTCATTACTTTCGAAACAGCAAAAACCATAGCCACTATCATAATCATCATCATTAATAGTAACAACAATAATAATAATAATAACTAGAGCAGTCACTCCATGAGTGCATACTTCCCCCCTGCGGCTGGATACTGAAAAATACGTAGGCCTTGCACTGGAAATTCCATTATTTACATAAATAAAATAAATAAATTTTATTTCATGCTCGAAGATAACTTCAAGGGAAAACAATTGAATTTCTGTGACATTCACCTTGTCCATTTCTTTCCAAAATTTAATCATCTCTTTTTTTGATTATTATGTACCATTCCACTAAATTTTATGATTCATTCCTTAGTCTGTGTGTAATCTTGCTAATAGAATGACAGACAGACAGCAGCAAATGCATAACCTTCTTGGCAGAGGTAATAATAATAATGAATACAAAGACTGTTGATTTACCATGCCATCCGTGAATGTTAGCGAGAGAGGATATCGCAAGCTGGCGATCATATGGATTCTCAGATTTAGCCTTCTGTAACAGTCGCCAAGGATTGGCACTGCTCGTGTCCAACGGTACCCAAAATGGCAGCCATGATGTGCCTGTAAATACATATGAAATTTTGAATGATATAATGTATGTGGTTAAATATAGAAAACCTAAAAAAATACAATGCAAACATTTCAATGAGATGTGATGTGCTAGGAGCAGCACATCTCTAAGATGACAGTGGTTCCGCTTTTGCTGCTCCCTGGCTCACCTGATTTTTCTTTGTGAATTTCTAATTTTTTTTTATTTGTAATGTTTTATATTGTTAATTGTTTTGCCAGAATGAATAAAATAAAATAAAAATAAAAATTGAAAACATTTAATTGCCCAATGTAAAATTATAAATACGTTGTGTTCCAATGAGGCAGAATTTTGAATGATTTGAAGACATTTAACTGTGAAAACACTTCAACTGATACCAGCCAATTTGGGGTCTATGCAAATAAAACACAGTAGGAGAGAAGTTTCAGAAATTAATACTGTATCATAATTGTGAGTATACAAGCTGTTTGATAGTCTTCTATCTATTGCAAGTAACACTTACTTGGGTGTTTATCTTCAATAATGTTCTCCAGAACCTTGACGCCATTTTTCATGTGAGTAACCACATTCGACTCTTTTAGAAACCAAAAAAAAAAGCTCTATTTCAAACACTGTGGGCTAATAGAGCAAATAATTATGGTTTGAGGTAAAATTATCTCACAGACAATTGCAGAATAAGTAGTATTTGAAAACTCATAGAAGTGACAGACTTGCTATGTAGATGGATTGTAAATCTACAAGATGGCTAAATATAGAACAATATAGAATTTTTTCATTCTTTTCTATCTTTCTCTTTTTTCAGATTAATTCAAGCCTATTGTCATTTCTAAGGAACTGATTTATTATTTTTTTTTATTATTTGTCTCTGTTTTGTAGGCTGAATAAAGAATAAATGAATGAAGAAAACATTCTTAATTATCAAATTTTTACTATATTATTTATAAATTGAGTGATATATACATAATATTGTTAGTTCATCTAGTGATTATCATTTAACCAAATCAATATATTTCATGAAGCTTCATGACACTAAGCACCTTGCTCTGAAGCCTCTGTTTTCAGGTAGATATATGGACTATGGTGCTCCACGCTCAGTTGGTTTGATTTGAAGTTCATCGCATGATCAATATCTTGAATTAGCTTGTAGGCAAAAACACCAACCCTGCAAAATGAAAGACAAATTCCACCTATTACAGCTAGATAGTAAACCAATATAAATCAGATTTACCAGGTTTTTATCAACCAAATATAGCATGATTAATAACACCGCGCTCAAACTGACATGAATATTTTTACTATTTTTTATACTTACCCTCCGACTAGAGAGACTGCTGCCAAAGCTATTTTTCCTACATTAAAAAAAAAAACTTACATCAATTACTTTGAAGAAGTTGATGGGCAAATCGAAATTGTTTACTGAGGGTTTAAATACAGGTATAGCCCCAGGCATATATGCCAGTATAAGGTTGGTATTCTTAATTTTGATCATAACAAATCTTGATTTAATTTAAGCTTTTGATTTAAATCTATGTTTAGAACTTGGTGTGAACATCTCATGATGGGTTGATCACTGTTGTAAGTCATAATATAATAATACAAACTTGGTTTTTTTTAAAATACCTTTTACAACCATTTCAGAAACTTCTTAGGTTTGGCAATTAGATGCACAGTTCCATATGAATAATGGCCATTTTAACAATAGAACAGCACAGGCCTACATACATAGGCCTAATAGCTTATCTTGCCATCTTTTCTACCATCAATAAAGATGCTTTTGATATATATTCTGCTAAGCCAATAATATACAATCATAACAATTCGCAACGTGTACTCTGTATTGTAGAATGATTTATTCAGTTACATGGCTCGCGTACTTAATAAGCCTCTTAGACTAAATGCTAGGCCGATAAAAACTCATTGCATCGTCAATTGTTTACATTAACCAGCCTCATTCATGCCGTTTTATGCGTCAATCTCCGAACCGAATCCAGCTAGCCTAGCTTGTGGACGAGGCTAGGCCTAGACAAAATAGCACTACGATACCGCAAACAGAATTTGTCTGTTTTTGAAAATGATAATGTTAAAAAGAATGTTAATCAAGGCTTTTACAAGAGTGTTAAATAAATCACACGATTATATATTCTGATATTGTACAACTTAAAAAATGAAATTTCCCGGCGTGAACCTTCTGCCTTCTGTGTGACAGCGCTCGAGCGTAACAACACAACAACACAATACAGTTACTTTTACAGCCAATGAAAACGCAGTATTTAGAGTACAGTATACAGCATAATTTGGCCTACTGTTAAAATTGTATGGACGAAATTGTATTTTATTAAAAGAGATTTTTTTTTTAAATTCAATATTTAACTCAGACTATTAATAGTGATGCAATGCAGTATATACTATTATTGTTGGATTCAACGTGACCACTTCTTGAGTATTTACCCAAGGTCTTGGGTATTTTGACTTGGTCTTGTTCTTGGGCCATTCAAATCCTTGGGTATTTTATTTTTACTAAGAAATTAAATATTGTTGTCATCTCATAGAGGAAGAATTAAGAAGTAACCAAGTATCAGTCCATTCAAGTACGCTAATCCCAATGAAGTGCACAGAACATTGTTAATTGACTGTTAATTGCTATAAACATGGGTTCAGAATTGTTTATTTGCGACTTGCGTTGCCATTGATCTTACCTAATTAATTACATAATAAAACTTGACCATGTACTGATAACACTGGCCGACTGAGGGCGTATTTTTCTATCCGTATTATCACCTCATGAATATTAATTTTAATAATTAGCACAAAGAATGGTTTATAGAATGAACTATAGGGAAACTATACATGCGAAAAACACGTTTTTAAAAAAATTTGAATGCATTTTCTGGAAGCTTGGGTAATTTTAGGCAATTTTTGTTGAGTCTCGGGTAATTTCGACCCAGTCATTGTGATATCAAAAATTGTGAGTGGTCACGTTGTTGGATTTTGCTGTGTTATCATCACCAAAATTTAATTTTAAGGAATTTCTCAATAAATAATGATTTAATAATAATTGATAAATTACACGGTACAGTAACTTGTGTTGCTCCTTGGTTGCCCACTTGATCGGTAACTTCAATTTACAGAACTTTACTTCCAAAAATTATTTTCTTATTTTATAATCATCATCAAAACACCAATCGCCATCTTCATCATTCATTATCATCATCATCTCATCGTCGTCGTCATCATCTGAGTGTTTAGTTTTTTTTTGTTATTATTATATTTCAAGTATTATTAAGTTGCCATTGAATTGTCAATGTACTGTTTAATATTATTTGTATGTGGAAAAAAACAATAAAAAACAATCACACATACAAACAAATCATCATCATCATAATCATTATCATCATAATCATCATCATCATCATCATTATCATTACCCATTATCATCATCATCATTTTACTCGTCACCACCATCGCCACCACAAGTCATCATTCAAGATTCAAGAGCATTAATTTTTATTGTTACAAAGACACCGAGGACTATTATCCACTTCAAATCAAGAAAGAGACAATAAAAAACATAATTTCATATACAAAACGTGATGATGTGGACGAAAAATAGAGCTAATAAATATTATAGTTGGTCTTTAAACACTGAGATTTGTCATTTCTTATTATGATGTTTTCCCACCGAAAAACTTAGTCCGCATGATAGGAATGTTACAGGGCCATCTTCATCTTCCTCACAGATCATCATCAGCAGCATCATTATCATTATCAATCATCTTCCTCATGGATCACCATCATCATTATCATCATCATTGTTATCATTGTTTCAAAGAACACGTCAATATTGTTGCGGTTTATACATGTTTTCATGGATGTGATTGTACTGTGACCAACAAAATGCAGACAAAATATGTTGTCTACCGCCATCTATAGATTTACATTCCTCATAGTATAGTAAATACATTGTTATTTGTGAAAACAAACCAACTGAGTACGCATGCCCAATACGGGCTGCCAAGTTGTCTACGGAAGTTTAGTCTTGAAGGATTAGGGAATAAGTACTTTTAGTTTTACTTGTTTTAAGCCGAAATTTTAGAAAAATATACGTCGATGAATAAAGGGGAGTTAGCCTCTAAACTGAAGAAAGGCAAGATGTTCAATAAATTTGCAGCAGCCTTACACAGTGCAGTAGAAGCGGTAAGAACTTGTATTGCGTTTATATTTTTTTACGTAGGCCCTAGGCCTACGGTGGTGTCAGTGTGGATCCTGTCAGTGTCACACAACACGAAGACGATAACACCGATACCCGAATACGCGATTGTAGGGTCGGGGCCTGGCTAGTAGGCTAACCCATCCTAGCATGTCTAGGCCCAATTGATGATATTTGGGCGTGAACGACACTTTGACTTAAACGGCCCAGATGGATCCTGTCAGTATTAAAAGTCGATTTCAGTAGTATAATTTAAATGACACTCGTTTCTTATATTTATTTATTTATTATTATTGTCAGAAGTAGAAGAAAATATGAGTGGAGACTAAACAAATAATCATAATGCTATAGAAATAGAGTTTTCATACTTACACATGCAATTTTTTTTTTTTTTTTTTTTTTGTCAGTTATTTATGGTTTTGCTGCAATCAGTGGCAGACTGTCAAGCAAGGCAGGCAAGCAAGGTATGCAGTGCATACCCGGCTAAAACAAATTAAAAAAAATATAGTAGAACAGTTTCTCCATTTTATTTAGCATATCTTAGTCAGAGTCTTCTAGATAAACCTTACTTTTTTGAGTAGATTGCTACAGTTAATTAGAATAGCAAAGTTTTTCAGTGTTTGGCCTACTTTGGTATCTAGTATAAGTCACAGTCGGGCTATCGCATCGTACTCTTAGCTACTTAAAATTTCCGCATGGCTGGTTTTCAATCTCAACCAATCACGTATTCAGTGAGTCAGTGGGAGTCAGAGCATACTGTACCCTACAACCCTTAAATTTGCTATTGTGACAACCATGTGATGTCATCAGAATAGCCAATGTAACACTGGAATGGAAGTGGTGCTTCCAAGAGTATGTGCGCGTGCTCTTCTCACAAGTTTATATAAATTTGCATACATACTGTATGACCGGTATATAAGAAACTTTGAATTATGATTGTTTGAATTGAAATTTGTTAAAATACAGGAATAGGAATTCTTTTGAAAAGGAAATACTACAACCATGCCGGTATTAAAAATAACATACCGGTATATTTGTATTTTGACTAGAATGCAACTTGATTCTGTATAGTAGTAGGCTTATGAACTTTTCCTACTAGCAGGCCCTAGCATCAGTGGCGTAAGGGTTTTGAAATGGAGGGGAGCTGGTGGAAGTGGGAAGGTTGGGGGATCGGTGATTAAGTGAGGGGACTAACTCGCAAAATAAGGTGATTTTACGTGATTTTTAACATCTTGAGCATGATTTGTGGACGGGGCACGACTAGGGGATAGGCGTATGTTTTTTCCAGATGGTGGGAGGAGACATCCTAGATATGCCAATACCTAGCATACCCTGCAATTTACCCTACGGTCCGCCACTGGCTGCAATCACATATCGCAAAACATGTACACAGTCATGATTTTATGTTTTGTTTTTTATCAATTGAATTCAACCCAAGTTTATATAGCTCTAAAACCAATTTAATTGTGTTAATTGATATATTATTTGTGGTATTATGTTATCTTGAGCACATGTCTTTATACATTATGTGTAATGATAATTAGTTACTTGTAATTAATTAATTTAATTATTAATAAATTATTGAATTTTAATGAGTTTCACAATTCCTTTCTTGTCCTTGTATGCTTTCAAATGCTTTTTATTTTATTGAAATTGTCTATGGAGCAGTTTTTGATTATTTTTCAAGAAAATAAGTCACATTTTTGAAGGACCAAAATTAGGAATAATTAGTAATTTCTTAAATTGGTATCAATTTAATGCTACATTAATGATCTTTCAAATGGTACTAGCTGCAAAGGAACTCCTTGCATTTGAATTTTTTTTTTGTCACATACCTACAGTATTTAATGTACTGTATCTACTAATGTTTATGGTAGTTGAGTTTGTATCAGAGAGAGATGAGTTTAACCATGGTAAATTATTATGGGTGTAAAATTTCAGACATGTGGGTGTTGGCTGAGCGTCTAGGAATGGTATTTTCGTAGCCTTAAGCCCTGTTCAGACTCTAAAGTTTTATTTGTCAAAAACATGTCACTTGCCTAAATGTGACCATATAGTATAGGAAAGTACTTCATGACTATATATGGGCATACAACAGTTTTTTGTCAAATAAAATTTGATAGTCAGTCTGGAATGAACTTGTTTTACATTATAAATTACTATACAGTATCACCATTATCAAGGGTTGTTACAGCTTTGTTTTGTTAGTCTTCCCTTTATTGTGTATTATCAGTACCCAATAGAAATTATAATTCATCCATTGTAATACGATGAATGGATAGTCTGGAATGAACTTGTTTTACATTATAAATTGCTATACAGTATCACCGTTTTCAAGGGTTGCTACAGCTTTCTTTTGTTGGTCTTCCCTTTATTGTGTATTATCAGTACCCAATAGAAATTATAATTCATCCATTGTAATACGATGAATGGACATCAGATATGCTTATTTGTTTAATTTCAGCTTGCTCCTTCCCAGTCCCTTCAAGAAGATTTTGTGTATCACTGGAAAGCTGTGACACATTATTTCATTAACAATAAAGGTGAGATTGGTCAGGACTTATTCACATCCATAAATGATCAAATCCCAAAGCTTTTCACGAAACACATTTAACAGCAAAATAGACTCATTAAATAAATCATTGATGATGACGTAATTAATGTTGAAATATTGAATCCCAACACGGTGGCATGTATTTCAATACTTGGAAGTATGTATTACAGTATACTTTCTTATCTGAGACTAATCAATGGATCTTTTGGTTTTTTACATAAATGTCTTATTTCAAAATATAATGATAATGCACAAACAGTATACTTTACAAGTTTTTGTACAACTCATAATATCAAAAGGCTAATTTAACAAAAATTCAATCAGAAACTAAGATTACAGTACACAAATACATGAATACAGTACACTCAGAAATTGATTTAAAACATTAATTTGTTATAAAATTATTACCAATTAGGATGTTGCTTTTATATTTTTAAAAAAGCAGATTCTACTTTAATTTATTAGTAAAGTACAGTAAATCCTTGCCGAGCCAATCGGACTCATAGGGCTGGTGCTTACCCCAGTTTCTCTAGGGTGAAAAGTAGAATGAGAGTGTATTACTCTCCTGGGTGGGATACTGGTCCACCGCAGGTTACTCCCAGCAATTTGCTGGTACCCACTGATACAGCTGGCTAGACTGAAGCAATGTAGATAAAGTGCCTTGCTCAAGGACACAAGCAAACGCACAGTGAAGGACCCCAAACTGATTCCACTTTTGTTTATATACTAGTATGTAATTGTTTTTTTTTTTTTTTCATCCTAGATGACAAGAAACCTGTACAAGAGAGCAACATCCCGTCCCATCTTAATCAGATGTTGGAAATCCTAGTGAACGAAGAGGCTGAGATGGAGGACAACCTCTCAGGGCCATGTATGGAGTATTTATTACAACACAAAACACTGGAGACATTGCACTCATTGGGAAAAGCAGATGTAAGATTTATGTATTATGATTTGCAATTTCTCATATTGTTACTAGTGGCAAATAATAACTACAGTACTTTACTTTAACTGAACTAAGTTTTTTTGTACATTATTTCTTTTGGGATTCAATTATACTGTAAAAGCTGACTGCAATACAGAATTTTCTATCAACGGAGCTTTTAAGTTAATTTCATTGGTTTTGGGACAAATACATAAATATATCAGTACAAGACCATTAAATGACTTGTATTTACGTACAACACTAATTTGAGTACTCTCTAACTGAAAGCTTATATAGCGATTTTTAGGTGTTCTATTGAATCACCAACTCTCTTTCCATTGAATGCACAGTGAGTGGTCCATGTTTGCAATTGATTCATAATTAATAAAGAATAATATGTTAAGTATAGCATTCAAAGAGGAATGCATATCCATGCTGCCTATCATTTATATATAAAGTTTCACATTTGCATAAGTACTGTATTCATTGTGGTTTGTTTTTTTCCCTCCTAATTTGCTTTTAGTGTCCTCCCGGCATGAAGGGTGTTGTTCTAACTTTCTTCACTAAGCTTTTACGAAAGATTAAACAGCCTCTACTACCCCATGTCAACGTCTACAAACCAATAGGTGTAAGTATAAACTAAGCAAAGCTCAGTTTAGGTGCTAGCCACCATGTTTACCTTGGTTAAATTCTCCCGCTGCTCTTCACATGTTACATCTACAGGGTGAAAGCAGCTGCTGGTTCCTCACTGTTTCGCACAACAAATCTTTGTGATTGCATTGTGTTCTTCATAAAATTGCGTCAGCCGACGACCGTCGGATGCAGTGAGAGTCCGGCTTAAAAGCTGTGGTGTATCTAGAAGTCTTGTGGGGGGGGTGATGGGGGCGCGAAGGTGGAGTAATTTTTTGGGGGTGTGCTCCCCCTCCCCCGCGCCAGCCCCAAGATATGCCACTGTTTAAAAGTACTTAAAACATCAAAGAGTTTTGTCCTAGTTTAGAGGCTAATGCACCACATCTCTATTGAGCATTTGATATTGGAGTATAGTAGTACTATAGTAGTATGATTAGACTTGTGCCGGCTTAATCTAACCCACCTGAGTAGCTTGGGAATTTAGGCCATTGGTTATACCACACTGTCCTCCAAAAGAGATGTGTTAAACAGGGGAATACAGCACTGTAACACTGGTATGAATATCCAAGAGCCCAGCCTAAATTCCCAGGTTACTCAGGCCTTACATTTACTGTCCAATAATATGAACTTCTTTGTTAAATTTTTAGCACATTATTTATTCACGATTGTTATTTCACATTGCAGCGGTTAGTCAAAGTATGCGGTGAAATTCGTGCAGGCCCGACAGAAATTGAGGAGATCCAGTTTCTATGTATAGTGTGTGCTAAAATTAGGCAAGATCCGTATCTAGTGAATTTTTTTATTGAGGTAAGTTCAAACGGTAACAATTAGGATTTATACATTTATTAGTTATGTGAGTTAAGCCTGGTGCACATTGCATTGGCCCAGTGTCAAGTGCTTGCCCGGCGTGACGACGTCGGCTAATAGTCGGTAGAAATCTGAGTGAATCTTCATTAAAAATAATCCATCACACAATAGTTGTATTGCAATTTTGTTGAAGTTGCGTTGACCGATTGTTGGCTAACGCAATGTCCTCTAGTATGTAGAGTACATGAATTAGTTTTAATAAACATGAAATATTTCTTTCATTCATATTATATTGTATTCATCATGTTATTTTGCTCCTGAAATTAAATCATTGTATAATTTAATAATTCCCCAAAATACTAACATAAAAATTGTGTTTAACGGAATGCAACACTGAAGGAGAAAAAACAAAAGACTAGAAGTCCATCAGGGCCAGTAAGATACTGTATCTTTCTCTTTTTGTGTCTTATATGCTCATTTACACTTGCTACAGTGTTGTTGGTTTTATGTTGTGTGTTTCTTGTTGGCCTTTTTTTTAAAAACAGGCCACTGTTTGATAGTCAAAGCATGCTAATGTGAACATAAATGTTAAAGAATATTAATAATTACACATTATTTTACATTTGGTATGTATGTAAAGCGCCCTCTATTGTTTATGCTGATGTGAATTTGGTTGGGTGACGAATTTTCGTAACAGATTACTTTTTTGGTACAATGGTAGTCTTATACTTAAAGCATCTTTTGTTGTTCATGTTCTTTGTCTAAGCTGGCTTGCACTGTCAACTTATTTCTGTCTGTTGTTGCATATTGACTTTTTTTTGTAATGTTTATGGTGACTAGTACTGGTAACCAGGATAGTAAGTAACATTTTTTTGAAGATGTGGACCTTGTCCTAAATGTATTGTTTGAGATCTTGGATTACATAATGGTAGCTTTAAAGGGAAAAAGCCTAAAAGGCCGATCTTTAGTGCATGGATTGTCAGTAAAAATATAGATGAAGTATCTTAACTGAACATGGTGCAGTAGTGTGTTCCAGAGATATTTCACACACGATAGCCTTGGTTTCTGTTTTCCAAAACTATTGTTAGATGAAACAATTCTCACAAAGTGATTAACCACAAAAATTGATCATTGAAAGTGTTGTTTGGTATTTTGCTTCTATCTACTAACACTTCTACTGGAAACAGACCTTTATAGGTCACTTAATAGGTCACTACTAAAGTGACAGAGTTTTAGATCAATGGAATAATACTTTCATTTCAAAATTTGGAATTGTAAGAATTTTCCATACCTAATTGAAAATAAAGTGTTATATTAGCTTATGGACTGTTGTATATGGGATTTTGCATGGTTTTTGTACAGTGTCCATTGCCCCTTGGGAGGCAGTAGACACATTGTTATCGTCTGGCAGTTGGCAGATTAAATCTGGTGGAGGAATGATGGGATGGGTCATGAGCTGAAGAAAAAAATGAAATGTAAGTCTACAAAATCTGATGTCATGCTAGATAAGACCTGTCCTAGTTACAGTAAGTTATCAATTGAATTGACAACATAGAAAACTGCTAGATAAGACCTGTCCTAGAAAGTTAACTAAAAAGTCACATAAAGCATGGATGAATTAAAAGTAGCCAAAAACAAACACGTCAAGCAATAAACACACTCACGCTGGGAATACAATAATAATTTTTTATTTTCATTTTGTGATCCTCCAACAGGGTGATGTTCAAGGTCAAGGCCAGAAGTCAACTGGTTCAGTGAGAAGGTCGCCCTCACAAGTTCCAATGGAATTCAGTTTATTAGACTCCCTGCTAGCACTTGTCCAAAGCCCAGTAAGTAGCTATGTCATGTCACATCATACAAAGAATGTAAATATTGAATAAGATTAATATTAGCAATGAGGATTTTGAAACTCCGACATCAAGGTCGTAAGTCCGAGACAAATGTTGCGCCAACCAGTTCCATATCTCATATTTTTATATATTTGTGTCTTTATCTTGTAGGATAGTAAGATAGCTGTGAAAGCATGTGAAGGGTTATTATTAATTGCGAGTCTACCCGAGAAGCATGCTGCTCAGTGTATTTCTGAGCATCCTATGTTCTGCACATCATTGGCAGAAAGGCTGTGCAGCCTGTACACAGCTCTACCTCTTTCCATGGACCCAGTGGATGTAGAAAGCGTGGAAGCTAAATGGGGGTGAGTGGTTCCTTTGATTGTTTTATTAGCTGATTGATTGATTGAATAACTGATTCTATAATTTTCTATATAGGTAGGTTAACTACAGTTTTTTTTTTTCACACCTGCGCTTTACAATAAATAATTTACTTAACACATATCATTGATTATTAAGCTCTGTCCGAACTTTAGTTGTAGTTGAGCTAAAACTTTTTCGTATTCTTAAAAAGAACTTCGACTAGTAGCACTACGACTAAATCATGCGAATCTCGACTAAAATTATACCTCCTCAGGCCGATTTTTTTAGTCAGCCTATTGTCAGGCTAAATCGCCGACTTGAAATATTTACCCCACTGAAAACGTGCTTTTTGTAACTTACGATAAAGTGAAGTGAATAAAAGCAATTGTATAAATAGGCCTTATGTATCCCCAGTGTGTTCAAGAAAAGGGACGCCCTCGCCCTCTCACGACCTCAACTACTATGGTTCATTGGTTTGATAGTTGTTGCTTGCTAGCCGTCTTCACCTGAACTACAACTAGGACTTGATTTAGTTGTAGTTACAACTAAAGTTCGTTTTAAGAATACCGGTGTGAATCTCGAAGTTGTAGTTAAGTCAAATCTTATCTGCAGTGTATTATCATTATGTTTAAACTATCTGCATTGATGTATAAGACATTAAAAATTGTGGATGTGTCCAATGAATTCACTTTTTAACCAATGTTGCTGTGTGAGTATATCACATGATTTTACACACTAATTTATTATATTTGACAAAAACTCTGACATGCCTAAATATGGTCATGATGACATCACATGAATATATACAGTATAGTCACATGACAAGTCTGTCCAGATTATCAAATTTTCTTCGACAAAAAAATGCTGTATGCCCATATATAGTCATGATGTGACTATATATGGTCATGATGTGATGTCATCATGACCATATTTAGGCATGTCACAGTTTTTGTCAAATAAAATTTGATAGTTTTGACAGGGCTTAAATTTATGACTTGGATTTATTCAATCTAATTTTAGTTTGGAATTATGTAACGATAGTGAAGATACAGCAATGTTCCATGGAAAACGACAGCTCATTTCTCTACTCTCCTGGTACGATTATTGTGATCAGATAGTCAATGAATCGCATCCGATGATTAGCCGGGCAATTGCACGTAAAATATTAGAATGGTTCTTTATTCCAATCTTAGAACCATTACTTCTACAATCGTAAGTACATTTTTTTTATATAAATATAATTTCATTGTGTAATAAATAAAACCAAATCAACTGAAAGTGTGTTAACATTTTCACAGAGAATTTGCTAGTGAAAGGTGGTCAGACTCCTTTGTATACTTTTACAAATACAGTTTGCCCTCAAATTTGAGACCGCCTTTGGGATGGTCTCAGGCTTTGGTCTCTATTTAGAGGGTTAGCTTTGTGTTAAAAGATTGAAGATTGTTATTTAGTTCTTTGAAAAAAATGGGGTCTTGAATCAGAGGGTGCACTGTATTATATGAAAATGTTAATTAATTTTACTTTGCTATAATTGAACAACTTGTAGGGGTAGACGGAAAAAGAGTAATTATAAATGGTCCTTTATTGGCCTGATGTTTTGACTTAAACTGAGCCTTCGTCCGAAAGATTATACTATATATAGAATTACATGTATTAAATTGAACCAATCTCCCTATTCTCATATCCAGGTCAGAAGCCGGTATTGTTACAAGCACTGCTCATCTTACCAAGCTAGTAAAGATGACAACATCACCAGAACTGTTGTCTGAGTTTGTGTACTTCATATTAGGCAACGGGTCAGGGGAGGAAAAACCCGGAGATAATTCACATAAGCTACGACATAGGTTAATAGAAAGATGTGATCATCTTAGTGATGAGGTAAGATACCGAACCAAACCATCTTGTCATTTCCATCATCGCCATATTTCCTTTGAAATTCCTTGGCAACAAAAATTCCCACATGAAAACTATGTTGATTTTTTTGTGTTGCAGAACTCATGATGGTAAAGCACTTGTAATTCTATGGTGCCTTCTACAATACTTTCATCACAATACTCTCTTTACAAAAAAAGTAATAAAGAAATAATCAAATCAAATATTTATTTCCATTCGTTCAAATAACAAATGCCAAAACCAAGGAGACAAGCCTGTAAACAGATTCCGGTAAATATACTTGGTTATAACATATTCTAGCAAAAAATAACTCCCCTATGCTTTGCTTACTCTTCTAAAATCTCTAGGCCTAAAAGCCATTTTGTAGTTCCACTGTGTATTTCATTGTTTTACAGCCTCTAATAATATTCCATTGTTATTTTCAGATCAGTATAATGTCTTTAAGGTTATTTGAGGTTCTACTACAGAAACCGCATCAGCATATATTTCAGAATCTAGTCCTACGCAACTTGAAAACAAGAGCATACCACGATAGACCACTTCCATCACCCTCCTTAAACCAAGGATCCCCAGGTGACAGTGGCATTGAGACTGAAGCTATCAGTAATGGACCATTTATAACACACGAGGGCAGTGTGCCCGGTAGTCCTCTCAGTGTTCCAGGTAGTCCGGCTAGGTCATTAAACGATTCTGATGTTTCGCCGCATTCAGAACCAGCGGATGATGTGCAGGGTATTCATAGGGTTGTAAACTGGTAAGCTAATTCGTGGGCACAACTTTTTCTGTGCTTTCCGTGTGCATATTGCGAGCTCTTCCCAATGCCTCCCAGTTTATCCATCATCATCATCACCTTTCTCTTGAATTTATATATATATACATATATATATATATATATATATGCTAATTTTTGCCTGCATTTTGTTTATGATTTATGTATAGCTATTGCTAATATGTTATATAATATTGTAATCACATAAATATTGTCAGCATTTGGTTTTAAATTGTTTTTCTTTAATATATATATATATATTCTTTTTTTTAGTTTTCTAAGTCTCTTACCAGATGTTGCTAAATCGTCATATATTACTGGTGACGTAGGCTATGATATGTATCTTAGAGATGCACATAAACATGTAAGTATATTGCTGTATATTATTTTTTTCCATTATTCTTACAAGAGTGGAGGTTTTATCACATATTTTATTTGAAATTATGCCAAGAATAAACTTAATTATTGATGTTATTGATTTTTTAATGTTTTTTTATTTATATTCTTGACTTGAACATCGTTTTTTTCTGCAGTATAAAAATTGTTTAGTACAGTGTTTAGCATGGGATTGGCCTAGCCACCCACTACCATTGGAAAGGTGTACTAACAGCGGTGCATTCTATGAGGGCTATTTTATGAAAGTGCTATTAGATAAAGTATCCAGGATGTTAGATCAGGTAAGGACACTTCCAATATGTTATGTAGGTTTCAAATATATTAGAATTTGTTTAGGAGATATGTTTTGAAATTTGTATATTGATACTGGTAGTTGTTTTGCCTTAATCACTCTTTATCAATAGTTTACCATTGTAAGTGTCTTTTTATTAGTTTTAAGGTCAGGGTCTGGAGGGAAAAAATTTCTTGATATGTTGTACGCCCTTTTTTACACCTTTTCCCCCAGTTTTTAAATATTCAAAAATCTGTATCTCATTCACCGTACCAGTTTTTCATTAGACAACTTGTTTCTGTCTTAGAAAAATCAGTGCTACAATATATCAAAAATTGTTTTTCCTCCGGAGTCTGACTCTAAGTCATTTATCATTATTGCTATTCTTGTTCTGTTTAATTGTGGTATTTATTTATAATTGAGTGATTTATTTCCTCCCTATAGCCATATGAAGTAAATCTACAGATGACACTTGTAATTTCTAAGATTGCGCACCTGCCTCATCCGCATATTCATGAGTTATTTTTAGATCCCTATTTACCTGTTGCACCTGGATGCAGGACATTATTTACAGTCTTGAACAGGGTAGGTAGCTTTATTTTGGAATGTCATTTCATATGTACGTAACAATGAAGATGTAAAAAAAGGCAATGCAATGGCTTTAATTTGAAGTAATTTGTCTTAGAAATAGAGTTGTTTTAGTTTTAGATAAATCTTGAGACTTATTGTGAATCATATTATGCAGCTTTGGCCTTCCATAGTTGTGTGTGTTAGTCTCACACTGGTCACACTGCTTGTGTCCTAGAAGTATAAATTTGTCAACACATGAATGTAAATTACGATTTGGGAGGATGTGAATGATTTCAGTGGCAGATTCAGGGGGTGGGAAAACCCAGCTAGCCCCTCCCCCTCCCCTCCTATATTTTACAAAATAAAAAAAAAGAGAGAAAGAAGAAAATTATATTCAAATTTAGGTGTGAGAGTGCCATTTCCGGCCATTTAGAGTTGGCGTAATCATAAACTTTTCTAAACCATTTTGGGACTAAGGTAGTCTAGACCCTCCAAATCTGTGAACATCCCTTGCTGGGTCCCCTCTATTTTTCGAAATTCTTGGATCCGCCACAGGAATTATAAATGAAAGTTGCGTTGAATTTGCTGCACTACTAGGAAAACGAACAGCATTAGGTTTGAACACTCATACTGGTAAATGAGAGCCCAAATGACAGCTGCTTTGCATATGTGACCTAAAGCCCTATTACAGACTATCAAGTTTTACAGTATTTGACTAAAAACATGTGACATGCCTAAATATGGTCATGATGACATCACATCATGGCCATATATTGGCACATCATCACTATATTGGCACATAACAGTTTTTTTGGGTCAAATATAATATGATAGTATGGACAGCTTTTAACCAACAAGCCATGAATCCCCTACTAAATTACAACGTTTAAAAAAAACCAATCCGTTTCTGAGTGTTTCACAGACAGCATATTGATAAATTCAGTCAACATATTGCAATTATTCTCATCTGTAGGTGGTGATGGACCTTAAGGCTAGAATGAGGGCGCTACCAGATTTTCAAAGCCAAATGATCGTGGTACGTAAGCAGCTAATGGGAATGGTGGAAGAAGAGCAAAGGTGAGTGTCCGTCTATACATTTAGTTAAACACATTTTTGTTGCGCTTTGTATCATTTTTGTCTTTTGTTTGTATATTATGTCAGTACTGAATTGTAGTTTTATGAAACGGTCAGAGGTCACATGTGTTGTATTAAATTTGAAGTCTGTTCTATGAAGCCTAAATTGTTACCAGTATACAATATTTAGATGGTAAATATACATGTTCTTTTTACAAGCTTTTAAAAAAAATTGTGAGTGGTGGGAGTAAAGAATTGGTTTAAAAAAGTGTTCGTATGGTTTTTTTTAAGTATTTGATAAAAGGTATAAATTTAATTTGCCTTTGTTTGATGTTGCCCAAATTTTCACAGACACAAGATTGAAGATAATCCCATCATGAAGTAAGTTAGTTGGTGCATGCCAATGCTGCATGAACTGGAGTGATTTTTATTCAGCCTACAACCTATATTATATCATTAATGTTAATATATTAACACTTGCTCCTCTAAAACCCTGGCCCTCAAAATCCTTCTTGTGATGTAGTCAGACTCCCAAGTCCAAGTCTGGTAAATAATAATGTATGGTTTAGTGGGTGAGCCAATTTTTTGGAAAGATAGAATAACATGATTTTTTATTTATCAAAGATTATTCTCAGTGTCATGTTGTAGGTCGCACATCAGAGAATAATTGGTTAACCCGTATTAAATTTGAGACATTCAAAACAATGAATCCTGATAAGTAGTCTTAGGTGATAGAAACAGTCTCCAATTTCTAAACAAACATTAATATCTGACCTGCTTTTTAAATATCTGCACATCCAACCAGTGAGTGCCCATACTTTGTAGTCTGGCGCCCTCAATGTGTGCACAAAAATACATCAAAACTTTCATTAGTCTCTCTCCGGACCTCTTTAAATAAAAAAAAGTCTAGAAAAAAGGCACAGAATTAAATTTTTCCAAATGTTTCTTCCAAACACTGACTACATCACTACTACTTACCTTAAATGACATTTATAAATTTCCATAAACCATAATCTCTGAGCAATGTGCTCAATTAAAGGTTCTGATTTTTTTCCTTCTAGTTAACCTTAATTAGCTCATTTGCAGATATTTGAATAATGCATCTTATTGCTAAACTAATTGGATGCCTCTTTGAATTTTTTTTTTTTTCAAAAAGAGGTTACTGTTAACAACATGCAAGCATAACATTCTAGATACTAACAGCATCTTTGTTGAAAAATTCGTTTTAATCGGAAAGAAAGAAATGGCAGTTGTGTACCAGAAAATTGTTTTAGCATGAGCATTCCAAAAAGTTTTTAAGTTGAACTTATACCAGAGAAGAAGTGTTTAGCATGAAAGGGCAGCATAGCTCAGTCGGTAGCCACTGTGTGTTCACTGAACCATGGAGATTTTTCACGTCATTTGGTTCTGTGTTCAATTCTGCCATTGCTTTCCTTGTGTTTTAGCTAGAGTGCTGAAATACAAGTATACTATATAACACTATATGAGGAGACTTTTAAGTTTTTAAGCCTATTGTATGTGCTTATGTTTATATAAATAAATGCAGTACACTCTTCCGAAAAGAGCAGCAGATTATTGTCTCCCAGTCAGTGGCGTATCTAGAAGTCTTGAAATGGGGTGGGCTGATAGGGCGGGGGCGCGAAGGTGAAGTAAGGGGGCTTGATGATCAGTTGAGGGGCGCTAATTTTGCAAAATATGGTGATTTTAGGTGATTTTTAACTACTTGACCGTGATTTTTTGGGGTGATGGGGAGTGAATAATTTGGGAGGTGGGGGAGGGGCGTGTGCTCTCCCCTAGGGACGCCACTGCTCCCAGTGTACTGCTCAATAACTCTCAATATTCCCCTCTGGAAATACATTTTTGGGCTCTAAAGATTAAAGATTTATCATCATACACTTTAGGGGCCATCCATAATTTTCAACATTTTCAAAAGAGTACAAAATACATGCTTTAGGAGGAGGGGGTTAAACGTGTAAGCATAAGTACTTTTTTATGCATGTTTTGTACTCTTATGAAAATTTTGAAAATTACGATGACCCTTTGTATATCATCATAAAGGTTATATATTTATCCATATAGTAATAGCTATATCATGTTTCTTTTTCTCCTTAATTAATACTTATAATTTATTAATGATTATATGATTTCATGCGTTACTTATGTTTATCTGTATGATAAACCATTATTTCTCTAACTTTGTTTTGAGAATTAAAAGGAATGTATGTTTAGTTGTTGTTCCTTTCGTTTGTGCAATGTTTCTGTGTAGCAAATACCGTAGATTGCATTCTGTTAAGTTTGTTTTTACTTTCTGTTTGAAGAATATAAAAGCCCATGTTGGCTTGTGTTATACTTCTTTGTTATAATATATGTTTATGTTTTGCCTTTGTTTCCATCCATTTACTGCATATGTTATTATAATATTCTTTGATAATATTAATTTGATCAAATGCTTGATGTAGTTAGTGTTGTTATGCAACATATAAAGCTGGGTACTCACTGCGACGCGATGGCAACGCGATGACGAATGCACGCGACTGCGCGGAACCAACGGATCGCTTTTTTAATGAGGATCCATTCAGACTGCCACTGCAATCAGTAGATGGCGTTACGTCGTATATCGCTAGCCGGAAGCAGAGGTGGATTCGTCGAGCGACTGTTGTCCAACCTTCGTACATCGCAGTGATTGCCTGCCTTCACATTATACATATGCATGAACTAACAACGTTAACAGCTCGCATAATGATGTCTTTTAATTTATATATACAGTATCAAAAATATTTTACGAGGGGGGGAACATTTATATAATTTATTTAATTATTGAACATGCACCAGTGGGGTAACACATATGAGCTCTCATTGGCCAAAGCCAAGGGCCCCGGACCTTAAAGGTCCCAGGATTAATCAGCATTTGCAGCTGTAGGCCTAAAAAAAATCAGCCGATCAGATCACTTAATGAGCAGTAAATTTAATAATTCAAAAAACACTAGTATCCCATTGGGTTTTTCATGGTCCCCAGTCCCCCCAGGATAGGGCTCGAAGAAGACATCGCCAGGGATCTTGGTCCTATTTATTATGCCATTGACGTACACATATTTAAAATGATTACATTGAATTGCCATCAAACAATTTATTGGCGTATACATAGGTCTTTAATTTATAGAACATACCTTACTAAAGTATTCAATTGCAGCTTGTTCATTTCTATAATTGAATTACAATAATTACACATGTTGTTGTTATACCTTACAAGTGTTAATAATTTTATTGTAAATTGCTTAGAAAGTTTGAAAGTGGGTATTTGTGCCAGGTGGGAAAGAGAGAGTGGGATTTCCACAAAAAACAATAAGAAGAATAGCAATAAAAGAAGTAAAATCTTGCCCCATACATTTGTTGGTTTTGAGACCTTGGATTTCTCTCAGCAACCCTGACACTAATCAGCAAAGTCTAATCTCTTTGTATGGTAGCACCACCTCTAGTCTAGAAATACGATTATGTTGAAATTCACAGAGTTTATGATGTTTGCTATTATCTAATTATACAATTGGCAATATATTGTTCTTGTTTTGAAAATAAATAATATATAATTTTATTTTATTTTATTCAAAAATTAAAACAATTTAAAATATGGTAACTGAATTATATATCCTATATATTTAACATTAAAAATAATATTTTTTTCTACATTATTTTGTATAATTGTTGATTAATTTTTAACAATATTTGTGTGTTTCAAGTTTGCCTCACATAGACCTATTGGAAGCCGTAATCGTCCTAGAAGAATTCTGTAAGGAACTGGCTGCAATCGCGTTTGTCAAACACCACACGTCTAGCTGCAGATGATGACGGACCAATTTCACATAACAGAAAGTGGTATCAAGACAAGAAGGCGGAGAACAGGAACACAAAAGTGTGCTTTTAAAACTCCTGGCTCCAAAATGGTTGTTAGTGGTTTAAAGCATAAATGCTTTGTTTATCATTGTACATTGTGGGTGAAAAAGTGAAAGTATTACCCATGTAAAATGTACTGTTCATAGAGGTATCTTTCTCTGTTAACTTACTTTTAATTTAATTTTATTAATTTTTATCATCAATGTGACTTAAAGTGGGTAACTTTAATATGGCTACTTTGCTAGCTTTCATGATGGTAGGGCCAGCCCGGGTCAGCATGGCTATTAGCAATGCCTACAAACCCAGTGGTATCAGAGAGTGTGGTAATCATTGGTCGTATTCGACTGGTTCGTTTCGTTGATAACGATTTTTCGTTGAGTATTATTTCCATTTGGCTGGTTTGTAAAATAGACTTTGTTGACAATGGAAATTAATGTAAACCAGAGTGCGTTAATCAACGTTAATTTGTAATAAGTTATCCGCATGACCAAGAAATATGACCGATTGGTCAGTTTTGCAACAGCATTTGCGTTAATATAATTTAGATTAAATTTTAGAAAATAATAATTATAATATTTACCCACATGAAGACAAAAAATATTTTAAAAACTGCATGACAAATTTTTTTACGAAAAACCTATACTGCCACAAGCCGAAGGAACTTTAATTACGCAGCGTGTGTCGTGGTAACTATGCAGCCATTTTGTTTGTCGAGTACTGTATATACCAGTTTTCTATTCGTCTGGTCGTCTTCTTTAAGTAGGATTTGACCACTGCGCTGGTGGGCGGGTTCAACGATGAACGACCAGTCGAATATAGCCATTGATAGGGAGAAATGCCGTCTGATGTGCTAAGTATTAAACAGTAACACATATGACCATGTATGATCAGTATACAGGGTGAAGGATGATTTCCAGGCTAGGCCTACTGAATGATTATTCTCCTGCGAGGCTTTCAGATTAGGATGCCCTTTGCTAGGCATACAGTTACAATTAGCCAGGTCTAAATTTAGCTATTGATAGCAATGCATGCCTGCTTCATCAGGTGGAATTTAACTGACAACACTGGTATTAATTATTGGAATAGAATGGTGAAATTATGTCTCATCTAATATTATTTAAACAGTGTTGGTAATCAATTATTTTCTCTCATGATTTTAATTAACACTGCTATTTCCAGTGAGTTTTTATTGGTAGATGTTTTCTGACTTGAAAACTGACCTAAAATATGTTGGTTTGATCCTTTTGATAACCTTACCATATGGTAAATATTCATGTGCTTATGCTATTGGAATTAGTAGGTTATTCACACCTTATTTCCAGAAAAATATGTAAAGAACTTTTAAAACAAATATTTTGACTGATTGGAGAATATGTGCCTTAGTTAACCTTAAAGCAGACTGTGCTCTGAAAAAAGTGTGTTGATTTTTTGTAAACGAAAGAAAACTGGTGTCTACAAACATTTTTTTGTTGGTGTGTTAATCGTGGTGCACACTGCATCGACAGCTGACAGTATTCTATGAGAACATGAACACTTTACACGGTGAACGATAGACTACCGCGAATGGGCAAGCACTTACACAGAGTGTGGCCAACGTTCGCAGCCGATAACAATGTGGTGGCACTTTAACAGTTAGTGATACTGTATAGACAACTCCAGTGCTGAATTGTTGCTTCAAGTTTTTTGGAACATAATTTCTTGTCAGTGCTTATGTTCATTTTATGATACTAAAGTTTTTAAAAGTTCAATGAAAAATGTTTTAATTATAGGAGGGTATTTTTAAAATTTATTAGTATGGAAAATTAATTTGATTTACAGATTAATTTGAAAACAATATTCAGACATGGTTCTTTTCAAGTAAAATGTGCTTTTGTATCAGCTTTAAATAATTCCATTATTGTTAATATTAATAAAATTTAAAAAATAAAAATAAGAAAATAAAAAAAATATTTGCGGAAGACTACTACACAGACCTTGATATTATTGCCATTTTTTTTTTAACTTTTGTATTATTATTTTATTTTAATTATCTGATTCTATATAAATATGTATATGCATGAAGGAAAGTTCTTTTCTCAAGGGTATGTGTAAAATACATCAACTTATTCAGTAGTTGATGTTAATACATTTAAATGTAAACATTATTTTTTTTTTAACATCTTGTATATCAAAAACTGATTGTTTTTTAATCCATCCACAGCCTGTTCTGGTAATTTCCTAGTTGTATGATTACTTTTGTTTAATACCTAGGTAAATATGGTAAAATTCAATCTTAATAATAAAATTCCTTTTTTTTCTAAACCAAAACTAATTTCTAGACCTAGCCTGTTCATATTCTAGACCATTGATATTTTCAACTCTATCCACCAATTTTCTATTTGTTACTTTCTCAATTAATAATGTCCTGTAATCTAATTATATTTAAATTGTCTTTGTTGTTTTCTTCTGTTGTAACTAATATTTTAATTGCATTCGTAATATAACTATAATTTTAACCAAAATAAAGAGGTAATGTATGTAAAAAATAGAAGTGGAATATAATATTTCATATTAATATTGGTTCTGATCTGCTGTCTAAAAGAATTTTATTATACAAAATAATTAGTAATCATTGTTAAATAGGCCTATATTAAGTTTTATTTAATTAATTATGTATGATTCAATATTGTTAGTGAGAAAAACCAAAAAGTTTTATTGTACTTTTAAGTTGTGATTTACATAAAAGACTATTATACAAAATTATTAATAATCATTCTTAAATATGTTAATAATTAAAGACAATTTTATTTAATTTTGTAGGATTCAATATTGCTTTTGAGAAAAACCAAAAAATATATTCTGTTTTTGAGTCATGATTTACATAAATAGATTTAAAAACATCATTAAAGGGAAGCAACTATAATTGGCCATTATTGCGAATTTAAAAAAAAAAAACCTATATTCTTAGAATTATATTTTTTGATTTTGAATCATTCTTTACACCGCAATAAATTCTGTCATATTATCACAGATAAAAAACGAGTAACTTTTAAAGGGGCCCCATCTTTTCAAAAAATCGTGGATAGATTGTTTTTGTAGGGTTTGTTGGTGTCTTTTTTATTAGGGAGCTTTCGATTGCACGACGACGGTTGGGCGTAGAACGTAATGACGTCACTAAAAGTCATCTGCGCATGCGAGAACGTTAAGGTCGCCTCGTCGAGTAGATTCTGGAACGCAATTTGGCCAAATCTACGTATGCAGAGAACGTAGGACGCCAGGTATGACGGTCACGCATGAGTGATTCCGTTCTAGCATCACGTCGTCGCACAAATTGGAAAGCTCCCTATTAAAGATGAGATACAAAGTAACAATCTTCAATAAAAATCCATGAGTTTCCATTCAGGCAATGCCGCTGGTTATTTTCATTGTTTCTTAAAATTGCTGCCTGCACTTTTTAGACTTGGACTACCTACATTACTTCATGAATAATTATGTATTTTAAGTATCAAAAAACATCATTTCCTCCGTGAATTCATTAATTTTAAATTATTGTTTGAATACATAAAACTTCATACCTAATTTTTTTCATACTGTCGAATTTACTTTAAATATTTATTAGTAAGTCTGAGCATTAAGTTAATCTAAACCATCGGTCGTCAAGGTACAAAATGTGACGTCATTTAGACGTTTTACTGACGTCATAAATGACGAATACTCGAATTTAATCTGATTTTAATTTTATCATAATTTATGTTCAAAACTAATATTAAACATTTTGAATGTTTTTTTAATCTTTTGTGCTATTTATGTTTCTTGAATAATAGTTGATGTTTTAACAATAATCCAATTTTTCACTTAATCCACCATCTTGCACATAATATTATTTTGTCTTCCTGTATTTTCTATCTATTTTACTATTTTTGTTTTAATGTTACTTTATTTATTGTGTAAGCAAGCGGTATTACATTGATAATAATGTTGGTATTTTAAAAGTATTGTATGTTTGTATATAACATATAATTATGTAATATGGTGGGTTTGTGGCGTCTAAAAGTGTATATAAAATAATCTATTAGGCCTATTAGCACAGTACTATGGCTATGGTATACAGTATTGTGGGTACAGACACTGCTTGCCTTGAAAAAGCCGATTCGGCGCCATCTAAGCTTTCCCTCGTAAGTCGTAAACGGGTTTTTACAATGTTGCAACAATTGTTTGACTTGTATTTGATAAAAGAAGAAACAACACGTCGGACTCAGAAGTTGAAAAGTCTAATGAATATATGTCAATGTCACTTGAAAGTGATATTCTGTCAATGTCACTTGAAAGTGAAATTCTTTTTCACCGTCCTTGGCTTTTGCGTGCGAGTAGGCCTAATATTTTTATTTCCCGATTACTAAGAATGCCTTGGATTGCGCCGAACCGAATCGGCTGTAGTGTCGCATGAACCAAATACCACATTTCATAACGTGCACGTAGAATGTAAATTAGTAATATTTACATGAAAAAAATAAAGCACTCACTGATCGATAGCAAAGTATGTTAAAAGGCTATATATTATTAATATGTCGCTTTGCGGTGTATAAGTTATTAATTTGATATTAATATATTCATCTCTTAAAGAGTCTCAGTTCTATATCATTTCTTTTGTCGTCTTTAAATATTCTCCACTTCAAAGTTTAAGACCATCCAGAGCAGTGAGTAGGAGGCAAGATTGCCAAAAGCAACCAACTGTACTATTAAGAGAACGCAGACGACCAGAAAACAATTATGAATTCTAAATCATATTAATGTCCTGTTGGGTATGCCCTTGAAGAGATCCAGATCAGTGTATATGCCTCCAATTAAACTTAATAATGTTTAATTTGAAAATTATGTTTGCTTAAACAGTTCGCAGAAAGATGTTTGACTGTAAGTGTGAAAGTCAAAGTATGATGACTTTCAGAACAACCTTGATCAGAATCTCGCGATTTTTTAAACGTTTTTATCTTAATTATTAGGCCAAATGTCACCGGGAAATACAGTCGACCATATCTCCCAACTCGTGATAGGTCACCTAATCATAGCAAGTGTGTTTCTATGAAGAAATGCAAACATTGGTAATAATTTCCGGAGGAAAGTATTCTAACTACTGTATTTAATAGGCGTCCGTCTATTAGGGCTAAAAAATGATCATTCAGAACATTTTGACGATTTATCACACTGTTGTAAGAGGAGAAAAATAATGGAATTTTGAAAAACTGATCTAAAAGTTTGGCGGACCCAACATTTTTCACGGACTCCCTTGCGGGACCTCCAGTTATTTTTCGCGGATCCCAAGTTGGGAACCAATTGATATGACTGTACTGTATTAAAAAAGTTTCGGCAATTTCGTGTGCGATTGAGGGCGCTCAACGTGTACTTTGAGACTAAGAATTGAACAAAGCACATTTCGAGCCTCCAGCACGCACAACAGCAGCAGCTCATAAATTGTGCGTGGCAACACACAAGAAGCTGGGAGACTCTTTACTTTTTGGCAGCGGAGCATTCAAAAGGTGAGACTGAAAATAGAAACACATTCTTGAACAAGTATAGATTAGGCCAGGATGTTGATTTGTGACCTGGCAAAATCGTAGTTTAATACTAAAGATAGTCCTACATATTTTGTAGCGTAGCAGTAAAGTAAATAAGTACGTACGTAGTAGGAACACGTGTGCTTCGTTCATTCAAGAAAACGTATGTTGTAACTGTACATTGTTTACACTGGGCCGTGTAAAGTGCAACTCCCCAGGACCAAGAAATTGATAGGGCCTAGGCTAGGCCTAGGTTACCCCCTACTTTTCCCTATACGCAATACACGTTTCAATAAGCCTCTATGGACTACCCTTTTTTTTTTCTCAGAAATAAAATAAAAGTGTAAAACTTTACTATGTTACTAGGCCTAGGGAACATTTAAAACATAATCATCATGTACTTGCTTAATTTAAGGGCACATAGAAATAATTGTTAGATTATCACTCCTGCCCGCATCAACAATTTGGGAAATATTGACACGGGAATGAAAAAAAAATATTTTTTTGCCGCATCATTTATTTCAACAGCATAAAAAGACAATTCAAATTTTGTGACTGCAAATACATTTTCTTTAAAAAACAATAAAATTGAACCAGTTTTTATACAATATTTACAATATTCTTGTCAAATAAAAACAGTCCCTCCCTCACTGTATAAAAAAAGCAATATTCTATTGTTCCGATTAAAAAAATAAACCGCCCGCCATCATCACTTTTTTTTTTCTAAAAAAAAGAGTGATAAATCTAATTAATAATTTTTTCTATGTGCCCTAGCTGGTTTTATGGTAAAATTTTATCATTTATTTACATTTTAAATATTGTTAAACTTTTTAAGGTTTTTGAACTTTTGAATTGAATTTTTTATAAGGGTGTATTTTAACGTCTATTTTTACTAAATTTTTATTCGTCTTTGCCATTTTTTTTCATCCTGCTCTATGCTCATTTTTTACTTCTGCATTTTGTATTCTTTGTTTTAAAAGGACCCCAACTGAAATGGTAATTCTTACAACTTAATGGTCATTTTTAGCATTTTAACCCACTTATTTGCTGCTATGGGGAGGAGGAAGGGTATGCCCACAACCTCCAACCTACACCAATGAGATTTGTGCAGTTCTGATTGAGAATTCTAAGTTTATTTATACTTTTAATTATCAATAATAAATTAGGAAATTGAATAAAATGCAGGTAATTTTAGATTTAATTCATTTAACATTTTAGTAGGTTAGCATGGTGGGTTAATTATTAATGAGCATTTTAGGTTTCTTTGTCCTTATTGTGATCTAACCCATTATTCAATTATGATTGATAGTACATTTTATTAGTCTCACTTTATCCAAGTTACAGTATGAATTTTAAATATCCACTTTCTTATCTAAAATGACCTTGCACCGACACAGTGATGGGTTAAGCATAATTCTCACTGGACTTTTTTTGGGAAGACTTACTGAGCTGCTGGTAAGACTTACCAATTAACTCCAGTGGGAACAGCCCAGAACTTTTCCTGACCGGAAGACCTACCAAACCGCACGGTAAGTTTCACTGAGTCCTGTTTGCCGAGTAAAACTTACCTAGCCAGTTTCACCAAGCCAAAAAGTTTGAAACAAAGAACGCGACTCGGTGAGGCTCAAAGTTACAAACTACAGGTTGATAAAAATAATCAAAAGGCAAAGGTTAAAAATAAACACTACAGGTTGATAAAAATAATCAAAAGGCAAAAATAAACAATCAGATTAAAAAAGTATATATCAAACATCAGTTAACAGGGATGAGGTTATGGTGGGCCGTACCACTCGGCCTTGAAGTTTTCCACCCAGTCTAAAGCTAATTTCATTGCCCTACACCCACTCTTATTAACCCACTTCTCCATCCTTACAATCCACTCTTATTATTTAGCGTTTATCAATGTTATCGCCCACCCACAATTAAAATGTCTGTTATCTTCCACTCTTAGTTTTCTGCAGCTACAACCCTGGTTAATAAATAGTCAATACATTACAGTGTTTGACGATCAATCAAGATAATATAGACCATTTTGTCCTGTGTATTTTGAAACGGCGTCATCAATGTCTGAAAACTCAAAACTTTTCACTGGGGGCGGGGAAGAAAGGGGACAGCAGAACAAACAATAGATGATCATTGCTGATTGTTTTGTAAACATTGAAGTATTATTTTATGACTTAGCCTTGTATTTAATCAAATTTTCATTCCATTTTAATATACAGTAATTTATGTTTTCATAATACCGTATGTTCTCACGTATAAGATGACACATGAATTTGAGATTATTGGATGATTATTTATTTTAGTTGCCAGAAACTTTCATTTCAAGTTTGGCGAAAATGGTGTATACCAAGAAAACAATCATTATTGAAGGTTTTTCTGGATTTAGTTGCAATACTGTTTACTGGAAGATTATTGTCTGTGGTGCCCAGAAAGCCCTTTTCAAGGTCATCTCTAGCATTCTTTCACTGAGACCAGTGGAACTACAATAGGATATTGGCTTCCTGTACTTTCATTTGTAGAGTATTCCTTGATTTGTTTTGTACCAGTATGCCTGTTATAATACAAATCCCAGTGAATACGGACCATCAGTATTTCTAACAAAATATTTAGAATACTGCAATTAAATTTGTAATAAAATATTTAAATATAAACATTAATAATTATACATTTTTATTTGACTTAGCATTCCACTTTGAACACAAATACCAACATTTGTTATTTTGTTACTGGTACAGTATTAGGGAAACAAATCGTCTTCCCTCTCTGTACATGAACACCTCAAACCCTCCCTTTCTGACCAGGTTCTCCCTTCTTGGACCATAGACCTCAATTGTTACTGGTGCTTCTACTTCAAAATATTCCTAGAATCACCACTATACTTGTCATTAGGCGTACAGTACTTATAAATTTAGCGGATGTTATCTTCACAAGAAAAAACCTTGGCATATTTGGACTTCTTATTGGATTTGAACCCAGAATTCTGTGATTAGGTTAACCATCAATTTATACTAATTTCATTACTTCTTGGTTTTTAAATGTCAAGCAGAATGTTACATTTGTATGACCATTTACATAATAAGGAGTAATCTCTCTGGAACAAAAACCAGTGTGTAGTTTGCACTTAAATGTTTCATTCCACAGTATATCTTATAGTTACCAAAGTTGAGTGTTACTGTACCTACGTCAGTGTATTATATCTTCTGGTTAATTAAAGTTGAACATTACATCAGTGCAGTATATCTCGTTGAGTTTTGCTTCAGTTGTTGTGAGAAGCATTATTGAATAATGCCCAAAGCTTGAGACGAAAAAAAAATAGATGTAAGCTTGATGGATGATGTTTGATATCTTGGTGGCATTGATTTTGGTGGGTAGATAAAGACGCAGTACTTGAGATGACACAAATATAACCTTGTACTTATATTTAGACAGAAAATAATCATGCCAAGGTCAGGGAGATTTGTGAGGATCTGTAAATTGGAAAAATGACATCCTGGTCAGCAAAGTTCTAGGTACACTTCTTTCTTGATTTATAATTTTCACATTCATTTTATTTGTTTTGTATTAAATTTTTATTAAAACGAACTGAGACATTTTATTTTTATTTTATTTATATAAACAAAAATTGTTTACTGTATTTGATTTTCATTAGCTAAATGCTATTTTTAATTTTATATAAATTTCAAGAGCTTTGAATATAAATAGAATTGAACTTACAACTGTAGGTTAAAAAGCAAGGCACCCATCTTCTGGGCCATTATGTTGTTGATGTATAAAGTGTACCCTATTCCCTTCAGGGTGCATATCCTTATTTCATCAGGTTACGAATAACAACATAGCGAGGTGAAATATGCTCGTCAGTGAACAGAACAATCCAAAATGATTGATTACTATTATGGCCTTGTTTGTTTTGAAATAATTAGAAATTTGATTTATTAAAAGTTACATCATCATATAGGCACTGGTAGCCATATCAGAGTTTTGAAAAAAGAATACAGGTAAACAAAAACAAAAAATCCACAAGTGGAAAAGATGCATGTAAGCTGAGTAGGAATAGGAAGCAAAGTGTTACTACCTACTTTTGGTCATAAATAATCAACTCCTGTTAAATGGTTCGCCCTCATTAAATATGTTTCAAAATATAATAAATAAAATAGAAATCTGAAAATTGCAAAATTGCCACTAATAAATGTGTTCAATTAGTGTCCTGATATATTTATCATTTACTGTTTTTGGCACCAACTTTTCAGTTAAATACTCAGGGTTGTCTTGCTTATTGGAACAGTCTGGAATGTTTATAATGAACACAATTCAATTAACTAGATGCGATATTTGCCACTAACTTGCTTAATTTGATTACTGAATCTAATTAGGGAAGAGTAACAGAATTATTCCAACCCAAGCAGAGGTCAAATCACAGGTCGAAATTCTGAAAACTTCTAGCAAAATTTTTATCATGCAGATCAATTACCTTTCATTATTAACAATCACTTAATGATAAATTTTAATAAAGGTTACAATTTATAATTAATGATAAACAAATTATATTTTATTTGATTTGGTTATCACTATTCCAGATTGGGGAAACTAATAATAAGATTACCATATTTATTTGAATAAATGCCCTGCTTTGAATAGGCACCTTCCCTCGAATAAACTCCCCTCCAGTTCAGAGCCTCCCTCGAATATGTGCCCTGGAGAATTTTTCCTTGAATAAATTTCCCCCTACTGTAAGTTGAGACCATTTTTGTTCCTTGTTTCGTTTACTTATTTTTTCGAAGATTATCAGAGGAGGGCGGAATAAGAATAAAAATAAAATTTTATTTTCTTATTTAGCAAATAGTTTTGCCAAAATCATCCAGATGAAGGAGAAAATAAAAATTAAATTTTATTGGTGAATGTAAAATAGGATGGTTAAATGCTTCAAATTTATATAATTAGGAAGAAATATACATCTTATCTTTGCAGATTTCAAGGCAGCGGAGGGCGTAATAGAAATAAAGAAAAACTTTTCTGAAATTTCCACTTTTTTGTGGCGGCGTGTGCGCTAATAGGCCAAAAATAAAATTTTATTTTTATTCGAAATAATCAATACAGGTATTGGCAGTCGACGGGTTTGCTAAACAAGGTATAAAAAGGGTCTTGTCTAAATGACTATAAACAAAATGTAAGCAACATCATTTTGAACACATTTTGAGAGTGATTTTATGTGGACGTTTCTTTGAGTCTATACATATCCATTTTACACAAAAAAAAATAAACCCCCTCCCTCGAATCCCTTCGTCAAAAACCCTTCTCAATCTCAAATAAATACTTTATTATTTATGGTCATCTATGACCCTCAATAAAAAATCCGCAGTCAAACTTTTATAGACAACGAATTTAGTTTTACAGATTAGACAAATTCATATTTGAAACCATGACATTGGGATTGGAAGTTGGGCACTTTTCCTCTGAAACCAAATCATTACATAAATGTCTTGCCACTTAAATTCACACAGTACCTGAGCTATAGTGATATATTTCTATTTATATTCGGTAATCACTCGGATTGCTTCTATGCTAAATTCCGAAATTCAATCTGACCTTTTAAATTATGGTTTTAGAAATACAGGAAACAAAAACAGTTATTTTGAATTGAATATTTTATATTAATTTTATATTATAATAATAAAGTATTTACAGAAATAAGGATAAACTCTTGTTGTTTGAATGGAATATTTTTACATAATAAAGTATTACAGAAATAAGGATAAATTTACTATGTGTTTTAACCGTGGAGTTATAAATAGCGCCCATACGTAGCCTGGCTATTAAATGCTTCAAATTTATATAATTAGAAAGAAATATACATATCTTGTCTTTGGAGATTTCAAGGCAGCGGAGGGCGTAATAGAAATAAAGAAAAACCTTTCTGAAATTTCCACTTTTTCGTTGCAAGTACTGTATGTGGGAGTCAAATATAGAGAATATTAATGAATCCAGTAAGTAGGTGTTCAGTACTTAAATGCAATCACTGTAAACCTAATTCTAAGACTACATATCGGTATTCAATATCAATATCTGATCATTAAATAGTGCAAAGTCCCCTACTACTGTAGCAATGGTTAACTTAAGTGTTTTTTTTTTTTCTTAAAATTCTGTGTAATCAGCTTTGGGATGTAGTCAATTTTTGGATGAATGATTTATCAAATTTTAAACAGCACTCTTTGCATTTCAATTTGGACAGCAATAGTTCTATAAAAATTAACATATAAGTTTATAAAAAAAAAAAACAGGTTTGACCACTGAACAAGTGGACATTGAATCTTTTCATAATTGGAATCCCACCAAGGCTATTTTAAGGTGCTACTCAAAATATAACGTTGGTGTTAATTTAAGGCAACTAGTAGGCCCATATATCAATGTACTGTATGTCATGTAGTGTATTAAAATGCCTAAAGTGTTTTAATTGCGTGTATGATATATAAAAAATTAGCTCAAAAAATCACTAGGAAAATACTGTATGTATAGTGCTTTACCTTTGCAGGTACGAAGCGCTGTTAGCTACTCCACAAAAGTCTACAAAATCCCACCTAGTAAAGCTTGCATCAAACCAAACCCAAACAAAAAGGCAGTAACTCAAAGCAAAAAGTTTTGAAGGAAAAATAAGAAACGAAGCAAAACAATAAACAAATATTAGATATAAGCATGGCGAGAGGAAACTATTGAAATAGGTGTGTTTTTTAATCGACTTTGAACTGCCGAAGTGAATTTCAAGACCTGAAAAAATTAGGGGGGGCCATTCAAAAGTTGGGCAGCAATTGATGGAAATGAATTGTCGCCAATCTGTTTATGGTAGACCAGTCGAACAAATTGGATGGAGTTGCAAGATCTTGTTAAGATCTTGTTGAAAACAAAGAGAAGTTCAAATTAAATTTTTA